GCCTGATGGAAAAACTTTGTCGGTGTCAGACAGCGTGTCCCGATCCCATTGCGGGACTGCCTTCGAAAAAGTTAGCGAATTTCGGCGTAGCGCCGCGACTGCGTACGGACATTGCATTTTGAGACGCGCTTGATGAGCAGCTACGAAAGAAGCCAAAAGAGGCTGGGAAGGAACCCCGGAATACAAGTTCGCTCCTCTGCATTCGTTTAATATTCCGCGCCTTCCCGACGGACATCGGGATGCAAGTTAGTTCGGTTATCCGAACAGGACCAACTACACGATGTTTCGAAAGTTTCGTGACGAGCCGCCAAAGTTTGACGTTGGACTCTCGCGGAAAGCGCTAGTTTCCCGTCCAGCGGGAGGTAAAAAGCGCGATTATTCCAGCCGGAAACAGACCTTTCCGACGTGCGCGAAGCACGAGAATAGCGTTGCGTAATAATTAAAGGTGAATTAATTATCCGTAACAACTGAAGCAAATTTTGATCAGATTAGAGAATTTAAGTCTTTCGCGAAGACGCGCTCACTTGATATCTTTGATGACATCTTGTGCAAAAAATTTTCTTTAATCCAATTACATTAATATTCACGCTTATGGAAAACATCTCTAATATATATATATATATATTTCGATAGAATAATAAATAAAATAAAAGCGAATCGAGGACAAAAAGAGTGTACATTACGAATATTGATGGAACGTCAGAAAAATTCAGACATGCGATTAACTGCTTTGCGAGATAGACATAGCGGCTCCTGCAACGACCAGTGATGGCCGATAAAAAGTTACGAAGCTTGAGTAACGACTGTTCTGAACAACGCAAATCTGTATTTGGCCGTTCGGTTTGTCTGCAATTCGCTTCCAGCCTGTATCCGCGCAATTTTCGCGTCTGTTTTTTCCTACGTTCGATGTAGGAATGCTCTGCTATTGTGTTTACATGATCGTGCATTGTTTGCGCATTTATTAGTTAGTCACGTGACACTGTGCGCGTTTTTTGTATTTACCTCATCTAAAAACGCTTCGATAAATACCCTACCGAAAATATTGGGTTTTTTTTTATTATTGCATATTTCTCATTTGATTGGATAGTTAAACAGTTAAGCTGACGATGTGTTTGCCGGGCAATCCCTGTATGTATCATCGGATTCACATACCTCGCATTGTGCGTATTTTTAAAAATATGCGTCACATTGTTTTACGTATACCATCTATTCATAGTTCGATATGAATTCTCGACAAAGCAATTTTGCCACACGATTTTATTTTCACTCTATAACAACGGATTGTCGAGATCTCTTTGCCTGATCAAATTAAAATCAATCGAAAACTATTCTAAAAAATGCATTCCGTATGTTTTCAAAATAGAAATTCAAAAAATTAATTTAATTTAATTTGGTCCTGGAAATTATTAGTTTCTCGCTATTAGATAGTAAATTATTATCTCTCCTGATCAATATTAATTGAGAGAAAAGAGACGTTTGTACGTATGACGCGCATGGACCAGAAGATTTATTTTTACAGACCGACATCACTTTGAAGTATTCTCTTAAATATCGAGCGCGAAATAACGAGGAGCTTCCAAACGCCGCTTAAATCACGAATATTACGAAACCGATTTAATCTCACGGGCGTGCCGAGACCCGTGACAAATACTCGCGCTCGAATTTCCGAGCGGTCCGCCTGAAAAATGTGAGGATATTACGAAAATATTGATGATCTCGCCATCTTTATATACCGTACAGCTTTCGAGGCAGGAATTTTCTCAGGCCGTTGCTCCGGCATTTTATTTCTGCCGCGGATCTATCGCATTGAAATCCGCTTCGAAAAATCGAGTCTTTCGGCCGTGACCGATCAATGGAACGCGCGCGGCGTGCGACTACGTCAAATTTCCTCGCAATCTCCGCCACTTTCGAGATACTCTCGAAAAATCTCAACTAGGTCAGTCACAATTTAATATCTGCGCGGAGGGTAAGTGGTGCATTACCGCATACGAAGCTTGCGCCGTAAGGCTTTTATTTATGGGTTTGTTTGCGGACGCACGGGTGCCCTGAAGCCGATAAGTGGCTACGGAGTCCTCGTGGAAGCCTGTTTCTGGCAGATTGCATCCGTAGTTATGGGGTCGTAGGAGTCGGAACCGGTTGGGGTTGCGAGGGGGTGAATCGCTCCGATAAAAGCGACTCGAGCGTAGAGAGTTTCTATCAAATTACTGCGAAGCCGATCGAAACAACGCCCTTCGCGTATGAATTCTATTGTAACTGTGGCTTAAAACTTTATGTAATTGTGTAAAAAATATTTCATATTTTTCAACTATACTAATAACTGTTATTAATTTAATAAAACATAAATAATATAATAAGAGATACATATTTCATTTTTCTATATATGTAATTGGAGAGAATGTGTGCATTGAAGCTGCTTCATACAAGAAATAAGTATAAATGTGATATTTTTAATGAATTCATTCGTACAAATAATGGTGATGGATTAATATAATAATTGAATTGCTAAATTTAAAAATAATTTATTTTCCGATATTACGTGTGCACCAAATATTGCGCATGAACGAAACATTACTATACCTTGTGTTTCATGGTATCTATATACATAAAATCACAATTTTATAAATTTATTTTTAAATGAAATTAATATCGAGTTAATATTGTACTTATTTTTTATATTCTCTCTTGTATATATATTGTAGTTGAAATTGAGACTTTCGCTGTAATTTGCACGAGAGAAAATAGCGTAAACGATGTTGCCGCGTACAACGGAAATGAATTTTGCGATCGTACGCATATATCTCAAATATCCGTGTTTAACGAACGATGAATGCCGGATATCTGTCTTGAACTTGAAACCGAGCGTGCACGCGTACACCAGCGCGTTGCATATACCAGGAATTCAGAGAGCCGCGCAACCTTGCACCAACGCGGAACCGGGAAACCGATCCGCGATTGGATAAGTACACGCCCCGCGTGATTTACCATAATTTCTGCTAAACACATACCGCCCTTTCCCGGGCGAATGCAATTTCGACGGAATCACGGCAGTCGCGTGATCGCTGGAATACCCTCCTTGCAGCCTACCGTGCGAAGTCTACCGTGCCCGATCGTATGCGTCATTCTTCTTCGTCTTCGAGTCGATAGAATCCTTATTTTCACTCCTAGAATATCGTGCACGAATTTATCATGTGAAATGAAATACGAATCCTGATAGTATCTTTATTATTTTGCGGGAAACATTTTTCTTCAAAGTAGCAAGATTTGCAATTGAATAAAAGAATGAGTTATTACGAAAGACAAAAGCGGCAATAAAAGACAAAGGATACGGTCGTTAGTATTATTACACTTCCGAAACTCGTTTTAAAATGTGCATGTGCATTATATGCATACTTTGAACAAAAAAATTCACACGAAAGTAAATATTCGCGAAAACTACCCCGAAACACTTTCATTTATGTTGCAAAGGATTGCATTCGAACACTCGCAAAAAAATTGCGTTATTATAATATCTCTATATTTGTTTTTAAGCGTTTTCCGATTAAAAACATGGGCAAAAAAAGTTTGACCTCGCGGCTTTTGGGGTGAAGAATAATTACATCCCTATTGTAAACGGTGCGTTTGCTGCGAAAACGAAGAGAGCGAAAAATTTAATCGTTTTAGAGCGGGGTGGTACGTAAACAACACGCTATCCGCGCGAGACAAATGTGCAGTAGCGCTGCTGCAAAGTTATCGGCGCGCTATCGGATATTATTGGATAACAAAGTACGCCTCGCCCCATTGGTTATTATCGCTCGCGATCGCGATACGCGTTTTCGCGCGGCATCATAAATAATTAAGAATAAATGAGGGTAGCAACGCGTCGCATTCGGACGTCGTTTAAAAGCCGGGCTTCCGGACGACGTGACGCATTTCGCAGCTCGTATTTTCTTTTTCGCCTTTAATGCGCCGCGCGCCAATATGAACAAGAAAATAAACCGTCCGTGTCCGTCGGCAAGTCGACATCGAGCGATTTATTTGTCCGTCATAAATCGTCCATCTATTTCTGTTTGCGTGCATTACGAAAACTTGTCGTGTTTCCAAACGTGACTTTCCTTTCACAATCGCTAACAGATTTATCGCTAGATTAGTTTCAAATTTTGTAACAGCTCTGTAAAAACTACACAATTTTTTTTATTTTATTATAGCATACAAAATTTGATTTAAGTTTTTTGTGTCAAAAATAAAAAATGCACGATATATTAATATTTATATGTTCGGGAAAATAATAACAGTAGAAGACTTAAGATTAATAATGACGATCTCGACATCGGTATGTAAGATGTCTATCAACGCTGTATATCGAGGTCACTTCCGGTGCGTATCGCGAAGATTGCAAGCGTCTGCGTTTTCTGGCGGCAAGCGGCGTCCGTTTTGCAGACACCATGAATCGCACGTTCTCACCGCGATTGAATTAAGCATCATAAAATTAAACCTGCTAACTCAACTCAACTGATCGCATCGTTTATTATTGAACCCGTTTAAATAGCCGTCCGGATATCTGCCACGCTTTAAATTTGGAGTATCGACCTGGTCGTTCCGTTAAGGTCGTTCCGCGGACACTGTATGATTAATCCAGGTGCAAGGACCGTTTCCGTGCCGATGGATCGTTAGCGAGTCTAAAATAGATATCGGCGTTTGTTTCCTATGCGTGAGCATGGATTCTAAAACGTTGCATGTTCCGATCGCATAAACGCATAAACAAGCGTCTGCGTTTTCAATATTCGCAAAACTTCAGACTCAATTCCAATCGTTTCCAATTCAAAGGCTCGTGCGAAAATAATATACAGTACGTTATTATTATCACAAGTGATATTTTAAGAATATCTTGTTACAATATAAATACAAATTAGCAGTTATTTATTATAATCTACACAATGTTTAAATACAATTCTTGCTTTGTTAAAAACAGATTACGTTTGATTATTTGCGAGTTTTTAAATGTTTTCCGTTTTGTTTTGCAGGTGACATGGAAATCTTGGCTTACTTCTTCGGGCCAGTAGGAGTGCTTTTAGCTATAAATCTTTTATTCTTTGCCGTAACTGCCCGCGAATTGACATGTGGTCTCTGGAAAGGCGAATTCGTAAAAAGCACCACCGAGAGGTAAGTAAACATTCTCCCGGCGAGTTAAAAGAAAAAAGAACCAACAGGTATATATTTTCCTCGATCGTTTAGAGATAAACTTTAACGTTTCCATGGAAATAATTCGTAATGTTATAACTGTTTTAAACGAACATGATATTCATTTGCGTGTTCTATTCGCAAATAACGGATTTCATTAAAAACTGCGGAATAACAATGTTTTGTTTGCACGGATATTCACATTTGCTCTTTACATCAGGAAAAGCTTTTATACTGTAATAAATAGCTTTTTCTGCAACCAAGTTCATTTTATTTCTACATACATTGTGCGGTGGTAACAATGTTTTTGGTGCACTACGTTTTCCAGTCTGCACTTTCTTTCTCGTATTAAAGTATACATCGATATTATTAGCTACTACTATTAATTAGACTTATATTTTTATTAATAAGTTATAATAACGAAATGATGATTATTGCTCCAAACGTGTTGACAATAAAATAAGAAGATAATTTTGTCAAACTTTCGAATATACGAGTTAAAACAGAAACTGCAGCGAAAGCAGTGAGTTAACAGTGATAAGAAGTTTGCTAAATTTGGAAAGGAAATTTTGCATGTCTAATATTGTACAGAAACAGATTAATTTTATCACAGACATTTGTATGTTACATCTGAAAAGGGCAATTATATTAAATACATAAAGAGCTAACAATATAAATTTCTATTTGCAATCATATAAAACAATTTACTCGGTCAAGTGAGACGTATAATAACATTAATCAAAGTAATAACAGCGAACGGGAAACGCGTGTGCGTACAAGATGTCGAGATCAAAGAGATTTAATTATGTTCCGCGAGCAGTGTATCTTCGAATATCTGCCAAACACAACGCGAATATTCGATACTAGTCGGTGCACATCGATGGATTAACAAAGGATTGCTTTGCAGTCCGGTTAGTTTAGTCGAGGCGGCACTAACAGAACCAAACAGCTGATGATTCGCCCAAACTCTGCACAATGCCTCGATCGTTTGCCAATCTTGCAATGCGGCGGATATGGCTTTTCCCTCCGCGAAAAAAATAACGTTTATTTCTCCCTCGACAGCTTCCCGGTAGAAACAGATGGAGAGATTCGTAAATAGATGTCTCGCACTCGTCTCTCGGGATATCGGCCGCCCGATCTTTGTCTCGCGTAAATATTTACTGATTAAGATTTAGCGGATATTTTCTTCTCACGTTCTGCAGTTTCCGAGAAACGGCTTGTGAAAAGGATTGAGAAACCGCGATTCCCGTTCGTGAACTTGCTCGTGAGCTTGCGGGTCTGCTCATTTTCACGCTCGGCTGACTTGCTCGCTCTGCGAGCGCAAGTTAATCGATTCAATTGAAGAATCACATGTGTGGTCTATTGAAATCGAGGTGTCAACTTTGAACGCATTATTTGTGTATAAAGTAAAGTTTTGACATATTAGCTTCTTTTTAAATGGATATCTTTTTGCCTATAATATTTTTTCTGTAAAAAACTTTTCACGTAGAATCATGAAAACCTCTCGCATTGTTAAAATTTAAATGAGCAAAAGAGAATGCGGAAAATATTTAAAGAATGCGTACGCAGTTGAAACACGTTGTACGCTCGTTATATCGGTAACGTTAAACGTTGCTCGTTAGGACGCAAATGAGAAGAGAACATTTCGCAACTATCGCGAACGGGTCATTACGCGATCGTACGTCGTTTTGATTATTTGCTTTTCGCAAAAAGATGTCGATAACGCGCACACTCGTGAATTGATGCCCTCCTCCCCCGCAATATTTCTGGGAATATTCCGGAATTGTGCCAACAGCCGCGTTTACAAGCCCATTTCCGACGCGCTTTGAAGCAACGATAATAAACGCGGCATTGCACGGCCACCACGAAACAGGAACGCCTGATCGTTTCGTGCGAAACGACACTTTCAGCCGGGAAACGAGCAGATTTTATTGGCTTTACCAAGACGCTCGATTCGTATTTTTTCGCGGGAATACGGGACTTTATTTTGGACACCGAAGGACGACGGCTGGGTTCGTTGAATATCAAGGATAACTGGTAGTGCGAAAACGATCGCGAAAGGATATGTAAAGTCATGCGAGCCGAGGAAAGTCTTTGGAATATCAGTGTTTATTTCAGCGTATTTTTATGTACTTTGATACGAACAACCGTTTATTGTAATATTATAAATTTTATTTTTTAACTTCGAGTAAACTTTAATATATTCTGAATTCTTAATTTAATTAAAGTTAACACTAAAAATTATAAACATTTTGGCGTTGAAATTGCAACAAAGCACGGTTTCGATTCTTTTCACGAGTATTTTTATCAAATTTAAATAAAAATCGCAATACATTGTACGCGAATCAGATAGTATGATACAGTTTTTCTCATTTAAAAATTGAACGTGTAAATGGATGACAACATAATAATTTTGCACAAAAATTCCGGCGCGTTAGGCAATCAAAATATTTTCCACTTTTTTCCACGACGAAAGGTGTTTAACACCCCGTAGTTTCCGATCATCTGTACGGCGGGCGAATTCTTTTTATAGAGTGCAGACTTCACGCAGGAGAAGGTTTATTTTATTACCTTCCAGCCGACTGATATCAGGCAATCGTTATTTTCCATTCGTTCGACGATCCGCTTACATCCTTCCGCTCTATTCGAGATTGATATTGACGATCCCAGTTCGTGATTTCGACGATGCTATTCGCCCGTCGTAATGTATGTACGCGAACACAATACGTGGCCATTGTGCTGGTAAAGAAAACGTAATCCCATATGTATAGATTTCACTTCGTTCTGAGTTTACTTTATACCTCCGATGCGGGTTTTGTTCATTATGTTCGTTCACGTGATTTCCGGAACATTTGGACGAGAATAAATTGCCTTACGAAACCTTTCAAACATCTGCCAATATTATATTTAAGATAACAATATTATTCTGATAAAAAGTAAATCTTTTGTTTTTCATCGATAAGATGCAATAAGTATATTATCAAAGTTGATTTAGTTTAACTAATATATACATCAAACTTAAATAATTAATTTACTGAAATATAAAAAAATGTTAATATTTTTCAAGAAATTTTCCACTTTATACATTTATTAGACGTAACAAGTAGATTAATAAAAATTCTCGCGGCAAAAGTTCTTTTTGTTATACGTGTCGAGAGCGCAATTATGGCGATATATTAGTTGAGTGAAAAGCTTTCGCGAAAAATCCTCTGACGTTTTAAAACGGCCCACGGCTATTCCCACGCGACCGGCCAAAGTTTCCCGCGGCGCAAATAACGTACGGACGTCACGTCCGATTTGACGGAGAAAGGAATAGCCGACTTGAATTATTCTCGGACCTGACAAAAGGTGACGATGGTGGCCGCAGGGGCATAAACGCGGTGAAACACTCGCAATAACCGTCGGGAGTGCAAGAGTGTCATCCGACGTGCGGATCCAGTTCGCAGCCTAATGTACTGTCGTACCTCACGCCACCTTTTTTCCCCAGTCGCGGTCGCGTAAAGTGGAGATCTGTGTTTCCTCGGTTTCGACTCGCAGCCGAGATAGCAGCGGATAGCGGATTCACCGCGCTAAAAAATATTTCATGCTGACGCTCGACCGCCCGCACGGAGAAAACGTGCGACAGTATTTCTGTGCGACGCGACCGCGCGAGAAAGGGAGAGAAAGAGTCGTATAAATATACTTATACAGCGCGCTCTTTTTATTTTTCTTTTTATTTTAGAGAGATACCTGCCCGCGTGCGTCCGCCGTGCCCGTAAGTTGCCACTTCTTGGCGTTTAAATTGTGAAAAGAAGGATTTTCACGTTATATCGTACCTTTATGTCTCCCCGTGATATGTGTTTCTTGGAAGAAAGTACCGAGAGTCGTTCAACTGCTCGCAGCCGAGATTTATAAGCGCGAATACATCTGTTAGCAAGACGCAACACACTTTTATATCGCGATTGCGGTTGATATACATCCCCCCATAACTTGTTCATATTTATTTGCCCATATTTATCTTCTTGCATTCATACTTGTATAATATTTCCATATATTTAATCCTTGTAAATTGCAAATTAAGCTGTTTGACAGCTCGAACATCGAATTACACCCGATATTTTATTAAACTATAAATATAATATATTATTAAATCTTATATATAGAAATACTATACAATATCTGACTTATAATATTGTAATAAACTTCAAATTTTTTCTTTATTTCTTGAAAATTTTATCATTGTAGAGAGTTAAAATTTTATCGAGTTACCGGAACGAAATATTGAATTTGTTGCAGCGTGCGAAAAATTAAAGCCCCTAATTGCAGCTGTGCTCTGCAACGGTTTCGGAAACCGTAAATATTTCCTCAATCCTTCAACATCCTCTTCATTAGCTTCTATTCTCCGACAGTAGGCACTGTGTATAGCGAATTATTATATATGTATTGGCTATAAAGCCAAGCGTTTACCGCGTGTTCAAAAATAGCATAAATATGTACTGCATGCCTTATAAATGATTAACTACGTACACGTCAAGAAACTTCTAAAGCCGCCTGACAACGAGTAAACAAGTACTTTCGCGATGTTTAAAATTTTATTCCGAGTCGTCGACCCCTTCTAGCCGGCATCAAGCCGTATTTGATATTTCCCAGTCATCCTCGCGGCCGCGCAAATTTCTCTCCGCCGTCTACTCGTGTCAATTAACTCCGTCGTCGAGTTCGCAGACCTTCCGCCATCCTCGCCACCCGCGAAGATTGACATTTATTTGCAACCACGAATAAACGCGCGTAAACGCTCACGACTGTCTATTTCAGATCGTTTTTCGTCGCGGTGTCTCTGCATCCGTCGCTTTCATCTTCCGAGTTTAGCACGGCCCTCTTGGTGCGACTCGTCCGATATCAATCATTTGTACCGTCGATTCGACACGATAATAAATGAGATCTACTCCTGTTCTTTTTCATTGAAGACTTAAATAAAGAAACATGGAATTACAAATAGAGATGTGTTTCATTGACGCGTAGCGTAGAATTTTACATCAATTATTCTCTTAACGGTTGATCGCATTCTTTGCATATTTGGAAAAATCGCACGAATTAAAATGAAAATCTACGTTTTAAATTACAGATTAATATTTCGTAAAATCGAAATACCACGGACTTAGAATTATTTTATCGGAACACGTCAATTTTTCCTTTTAAATAGTACAGTTGAACAAATATTTGTCGTCCGATATACGATAATACGATAAAGAACATAACTGCATTTAGAAAATAGATTTTATCGTATATATAGATATCGATGTGTAACGACTTCGCTATTCGGTTTTATTTGCTCGACGACAGAAATTGCGCTATAAAATAAAAAAAAAAAAACGAAGAACGTATACTTCGTGATTGCTCGTGCGTTTCTCTTTCCTGTTTTCTCGATCCTTGATAATGGACATCTTCCTCCGCGTCCTTTGTGCCAAGGCCGTTGCCTCCTGAAATTCTCGCGTTTCTTTTCCGCGCTCTCTCGCACATTCCACTCTTCCCTTTCCTCGCATTGTCTCGCGTTACACACTCAGCCGGTCGCACTGAGTGGTGCAGCGAGATTCAATATTTACGGAGCTCCCGTGCGTGGACCATTCCGTCTCTCATTTGCTCGCACTTCACCTTCCTCCCGCAGGAATCATCTGGTCATTGTTGTTCGTCCTGCTCATAATATTGACCTCGCGATACCGTACTTTTCTGCTTCCACATATTCCAGCCTATACATCCCGCTTCCGGTCGTGCTTTGTCCAATGCGCGACAGCTGTCACGGTTGATTGTATCGCATTCATTCAGTAGCGCTTCGAAACCTTTTTCGTTTATTCATCGTCTGCTCGCGATTTTGCAAAATTTTTGTTCGGATGTATGACAGAGGTAATATTTCACGTAACACTTCCACGGATGAAAGCTTTGACAACAGGCGCGATATTACTTTGTTTGTAAAATAGAATTTCTCAACAGTTTCATATTATATCGCGAAGCGATTAGACGAATGTGTTTCGCAATTTTTTTATCATTATTCTGTGCTTGAATACGTGAAAAGATTTCTCAAGCAGCTATTTAAGCTAGTCAGAATGTATATATCCGAACAATACGTCCGTACACTTGGAAGCTACGTAATAACGGCAAAAAGATCAGATTAAGAAACAATTAAATCTTTTCATTGCTTATTTATGATTTAGATGAGAGTAATAAAACTGTAGCGCGTCGTAATTGAAACGACACACTACGCAAGTTTTATTATTTCTACTGGAATTTTTGTTTGCTAACACTTCTGTTTGCTTTTATGAAACCGACTTTGCTTATCACTGTTTTCAAATATCTTGATTTCTCTTTTTAAAATTTTTTTTTAATTCATATAAAACTGATTTTTTTCTCATCAAAAGGATTACTGCATGAATATTGTTTCACGGATTGTGTTTTGATAGTGCAGTTAGATTACAAAAATAACGTTAGAGTCATTAAATTATTTTCAACCTGACCATCGTCCTCATCTCTTTCCTCGCCACATCCTTCTTCCACTGTCGGCGTTATTTTCAGCCTATCGCGGCACTCGCGCATTTCCCCTTTGGAGTTCCTCTTCTGGTTTTGCACTCACGCGACCGAGTGAGACTGCACGCGGACCGTTCATAATAATTAGCAATGCCAACGAAAATAGAATTCTCGGTGCCGCGACCGACGGTGCGCGTCAGGATAATACCGGTCGGACGCCGGTTTACGTAGAGCGACATTATGATGCCCATAATTCTGCGATATGTTCCTATATTCGCCGCGCTGTTACGGGCTGCGAATATTCTGACGGCGCGCATTAATAATGCTTTGACTTCGAAGCCCCGCGATGGGACACGCATATATTATATGCGATGCAGAGCGCATCGAATCGATGCTACGCGAATGCATTCACTCGCGAGACTCGCCGACGCGCTCGCTCGACTGTCGGCTTAATAACGCTTAATAACGATCTAAGTGCGATTATCTGCATTTATTCCACGACGTTTCCGGCCGTGAAGAATTGCGGGGCTTCGTTAAAGGCCGAATACCTTTTATGCTTTTTTTATGAATATCAGATTAAGAGTATTTATTCGAATGCTAAAAATTAATGACCGTGAATCATTATCAATTACAATTCTTGCAATCAATGTGCCATTGCGAATTTAATTTAATTTTTTTTAACATATTCTTTCCACGATTTTTATTTGTAAAATTGAAGGAAAATTGTGACTTTTATTAATATAACGTATGATTCTTCAAGGACAAACAAAGAAAGGTAATAAGAATCAGAGATACGCGGATGCTGAGAAGCGCAATAGATATTATAAATTAACGCACAAAGATGACAAACACGTTTCGGCCATAATTTTATGCCATATTGCTCTCTTTAGTTAAATAGAATATAAAGAAGGAAGGAAAAAGTTCAAGTTACACAGAATACTTGTAATTTTTACAATAATATGAATATAAAGTTAAGAATTTGTTGTCACATAATCGTATTTCGCGAACGGAACAGAAATTTCCAAAAGCCAATAACTTACATGCGAGGAGCATGATAGTTGTCTATTATTCGTAGTGAGACGAAGCGTGTCTCGCATATCAAATGAGCAATGTCAATTAATCGTGTAGCATTTACAACCATTACACACGTCACGTAAAGCACACGATTGTTTTATTGACCGTCGGGGAGTGTCCCGCGTGTTGCAGCGCGATAAATAATTTCTTGCAATATCGCATTTAATGCCACCAACACAACGATCGTGGCGTAAACAATAGCGAAATGTCATCCGCGCTATTACAATCAATTGCACTCATGATCTTTCGTGCTTGCGGCCTCTTCGGTTCACATATACGAGCTAATTGATAGCTTGGCTAAAATTACAGACGTGCCCTCTCCGCATGACACTCTATCATCATCATCATTTCATTTTCTATTATCATTATGTGAACGATCGCCATGAACGATGCACGATATTGCCTTCAAGGTTTTCGAAGATATAGCATCTCGCCGTTTTATTGATAGAATCGCTCTTTACGAATTGATGACTGTGTCAGAATTATTGGACCGAAGTATTGGACGGCGGCAATTTATCAATCGCGATTCTTTGCATTTCTCGCTTGAAAACAGCTCGGAAGTATTTCTCGCATTTGAGTTTTTCGTCTCTGTTTTTTGCTTTCAGGGCGACGCTCGGCCGCATATGCATGAAGCTGGTAATCGTGATGGGCATCACCTGGGTGGCTGACGTGCTTTCCTGGGCGGTCGGTGGGCCGCAATACATCTGGTACGTCACCGACTTGATAAACGCCTTTCAAGGAGTGCTGATCTTCGTGGCAGTCGGCTTTCAGCCGCAAGTCCGCGCGGCCGTGAAGAGATTCTTCAGCAGAAATCCGCAGATCAACGCCGGTCGTCAGGGTAACGGCCACAGCACCACCAGCCACGGCATGCCCAGCATGGGCGACAGCGTCACGCAGAATCCAAGCACCAAGACCGCGCCGTTGGAGACCATCTGTTAGGACGGTCCGTCGCGGTAAGAGTCACGTCGATCTTCGCACGACGAGTTTCGGCTGGTACAATCGTCACTCGCGAACGCGAAGCACGGCGAGCACGATGAAAGCCGCGTTCACCGACAAATAAGCGTGATAAGTGATTCGATCGCGACTCGAGCTCCTCAACTTAACGAGTCGTTAGAGCCGGCCCCGCCGAGAAGTCGGAAGCTCACGGCTGCAATTTGAGATTCGCGATCGAAGAAGATTCCTGCCGAGATTACACGGCGACGCGCGCCCGAAAGGGCCGTAACGAGTCCGCGGTAGTGGTTTCCACTCACTCCGGAGATCGCTCTCCGCGAGAATAGTGATTGCACTTCGCGTCGACGAGTTTTCCCGCCGTCGTAGTAAACCGTGCCGTGCGCGAGCATCTCCGCCGCGTTTACGCGACGGCGGACAGTTTTTTTACTCTTTCGCCAGCGAGATAACTCGCTCGTCGAGTCACACTTTATGCACGGTGTAGCTTCTGTCAACCGCCGATGCATCGAGGAATCATCGTAACGTGCAATTGACCGGAGAAAACGTTCACCGCGGAATCGATCCGACGAGAGAGGACATCTCCTCACAGGTCTGTTGACCTGTGAAGTTCGTGAGATCTCGCTGAAAACGCTTTCGTATTGACACTTGCCAGACAGTAAGCAAGTTCGCACAAGTTCCGCGAGACATCTGAAAAGCACACGAAAGTAATTAATATTTCTTTCCAACATATTGTAAACACATTTTAGATCTTCTTGCCATTGGAGTTCTCTCGTGAAAACCTAATCTTCCTTATTGCGATTATCGAATAGGAAAATAAAATCTCACGCATCCTGTAAACGTCGCGTTATTTTCTTAAAAAAATTGTTTTTGTATCCGCGCAACAAAATTAGATAAAACGGCACATTCGTAATTTCTTCCGCTTACTTTTGTGATTATATATTGCGCAAAATTACGCTTTTTTTTTTTTTTGAAAGATTCAAATAGCAAGAAAATCTAAAATGTGATTACGATGTGACTTTGAAAAACGTCTTGATTACTTTCGGTGTTTATCGAGTAATCGCGAACGGTGATTAACACTTCACTCGCGATCGTATCTCCGGTGAAATGCAACTAGAAAAACAGCGATCTATAATCTGAAACCTCGGTAAAGTTGGCAGTCTTGTTTAATCGAAGTGCACCATCTACAAACCATCAGATTGTACGAGCCGAGCGGCAACGCGTTTTGTCTTTGATTCTGAAAACTGGATGCACTCGCATTGACAAAGATAGATCGCGAAATTTCACCGACGAAAGAACACTGATTGTCTATTCCTGTTTTGGTACTACCGGAACACCACGCGATCCATCTTCTCTGACATAAGCAATTACTCACTGTACGCAATTAGCGGCGACTCTTTTGCTACGCGATATCTCGCGTTCATCTCGCGATAGAGCGTTTTTTGCAGAAACGGAAAAACGCGATATTGAAAATTAATTAAAAGGCGCAACCGGGAGGGCTTCGGATTATACTTTCGAATTATGCCGGATTTCGTATTATAATATATATATATATATATTTTTTCAGTTCATAAGCTCAACAATTTTACACTCGAGATGTGTCTAACAGACAAGACACTGTACAGATGTCTGTATACATCCGTGACGTATTTATCACAAGCACGACGCGAGAAGAAGTGCAGAACGTTTTGAACGACGGGTGTTAGACATCCAGACAAGACAAATGTCTGAACGACACTGCGAAGGCATCTAGAAGATGTTCCACTTTTTCGACGTCTTTTAATTGTCTTTTGGATTTGTTATTTATTTAGATTTTTCTTGTTATATTCCGGTAATACTTCTTTCAGAACTTCTAGTTCTAGAACTTCTTTGGTAATGTCTGCTTTTAGTAACAGTCAGTCTTTCATTTAAAACGTATTTGATTTTTTCGATTATCGCATCTTCATCAAACTGCACTTCGTGTTTTGTTGGATTACATTAACATCAATATTTTTGTTATCGTTAAGGATTATTGAACATTTTTGTGGACGGATAATCGCTCAGACGACACATAGTAAGTTTAATTGCAAACATTTTAATTTCTTTTCTTTTTTAATTTTATTAATTTCTAAACATCTGTGTTTTAGCTATTCGTAGGGTGATGTAACGTCCAATTAGGAGGACAAATATATCTTTCATTTATTTTCCCGAACGAGATATTGCTAATAATTTTCAATTTGTGTGATCACTTTGTCACAAATTAATATAATATGCAAACATGTTAGAAGAAATATATTCCGTATATCTTCCAAAAAAGGTTCATCCATGGTGTCGTATATCTTTCGATATATCTTTACACTAATCAATAATCCTTAACGGTCCAATAATATTTCAATAACGAATAATAAATGATGTTGCACATTTTATTGCCGCCAAGTACAATCTGAACTTAACTTTTCTTCCGAAATTCTCCATTTATCTGAAGAAAAATCGAGCGTTCAAAATTTACGTTCAGAATTGTGATTAGTGAATTCGTTCAGCGATTGCGAAAATGCGCTAAGCACATCCTCACGCGACTCCGAGTAAAATCGATCGATACAATCATAAATCAGAATTTAATAGTTGATATGTGGCTAACAGACAATGACGCGCACTCTTCGGACCTTGGTAACCGACAGAAACAATGCGTGATTTATGATCGAGGCGAGTTAATATTTTTCCTTCGGCGGACAACGATATTCATTGATATTAATAATATCGGCCCACGATGAGCGCAAGTATCTCCGCAAGATCAATCATTTCCAACAATAAAGACAATGGAGTGTCACTGCCGCGCTCGGAAATGAAAATTAGACGCTTCAAAATTACACGGTTTTGTATGATCGCATAATTGCGCAATTTCGCGGTTTCGTGAAACGATTTCACAAGAGCCACTTTGTGATAATGTAATCTAATCCTTTATATCGACAATTCGTCACGATTGCTGCGTAAATTATAATAGAAGATTTCGAAAATACAATTTTACAACCGCAACGGACATTGCGTTACATTTATTATGACGTAAGAGCGTAACAGCATTGACAGAATGTTTGACGAGAGCCCGGCACGCACTTTCTGTAAACTTAATGATAATTGGTCTCGAAAAATCGAGACCAAAAAAAAGCAAAAAGAGCTGCGTATCAAAGGATGATCGAGGTTCATCTTGAGTTTCCTCCCGAGTCCTCCCTCCTTCCTTATTCGTCGGATGTTATCGAATCTAGGAGCAATTGTTTTTCCGTTTCCTTTAACATAAATTTGCATTGACGTCGTTAGACGGTCCGGCAGGACGGCGCTATGCGGCCGGCATTAACATGTAACATTGTAACTTTGGAACAAAATTTATCACTGATCAGTCGGACCGTCCTGTTCGGCACCGAGCATGTAAAAAAGCTCTATTGCATTGCGCGCTGCGTGAACGGCATGTAAAAACGTTCCGCACGTTCGCGGTACATGCAATTTACCGGCATGTGCGTCGCTCCACGCGCACACCAATAATGCGTTTATGCAATTGTTGAAAAGTAAATAGTCCTTTTACACAATGTCGTTCCGTCCTGTGGTTTTTACATGAAAGGAATTAAGCGCGGCAATTTCATTTCGAGTTGAATTTCGGAAATATATTCTCACTGACTGTATGGTTTATTAGATTCTTGACGAAATGTAGTGTCGATTTTTTTTTTAGATCTCTCAAGGATTAAATAATTTTTATGGCACGTTATTGTATTTTTTTTATCTGAAAAAAATTTTATTTCAAAAAAATGTATTTCTAATAAAAGGCGCATATGTTTTAATATAAAAACGGTTTTACTTTTTTTTTTTTATTTTTTTGTAAATCTCTTGTTTAATTTACGACGAAGACATAAAATGTGGTCAGAAAGGACTCCTAGAAGAAAATTCCAAAGGAACTCTCGTTTACAAAATTATACTGCCAAAGATACTATATCAAGTATATAAGAGTAATCAGAATATATATCAACCGCAAAATAACTGCCACTTCGGAAACTTTTTTGAAATTTTACGAAAGTATTTCGATAGTCGCTCGATAGTACAACGAATCACGGATCGTCAACGTTTGCCGCACGAACGAACAAGTTCAACGCGACGAAACGTGTCCCGTTCGCAGAGGACAGTAAACATTCATTATTTACAAACGCGCTTGAAAAGAGCCAGACTCGGTTTGCGCGACTCTGAGACGTCGGTTTCGCACCGGACGAGGCTTTTGCTGCGAATCGCGCGTACACTAAATCATGCGTAGGTAGGTCAAGGCATATAATCGATGTCAACTCGTGACAATACACACTAGGAATTTAATGCCTTCTGAAATGCCTTCCAAATGTGGTATTCGACATACCGAATTGTATACAAAGAGGACCCGGACGACGAAGTCGACGATCTCGCCGGTTCCTTGCGCCGCGCCGGCGTGACTTCTCGCTTTTTTCCGCGCGAATTTAATCCTTTAACTGCGACACATAAGATCGCTTTCTCAAAATTTCTGATGAAATATTAGGTCCTTGAATAAGTTCTCGCTGTTTCTTAAAAGATGGCGTAGCGGCACTCTGTGCATGGAATTTCGTACGGAAACGCATCAGCTAAGTAGTACTATATGTAACCTCAAATTCTAGTAGATACAGTTTACCACAGTGTCAACCACGTGTTTAATTACCTATTGCGAAAATGTCTACTTTTGTGCCAAATAAAGTGTTTTTGCGGGGAATTTTATTGCACTGCTTTATTCAAAAGAAATCTGCAGCTGAAGCACACAGAATTCTTGTTGAAACATATGGTGACAATGCTCTGTCGAATACGACATGCAGAGACTGGTTTAGGCGCTTTAAAAATAATGACTTTGACCTTGAAGATAAAGAACGTTCTGGAGCACCGACAAAGTTTGAAGACGAAGAATTGGAGGCATTGCTTGATCTAGATCCATGTCAGACGCTAGTAGAGCTCGGGAAAACATTGCAAGTAGATGCGTCAACAGTTTCAAAACGTTTAAAAGCGTTAGGAATGATCCAAAAGCAAGGACATTGGGTGCCGTATGAGTTGAAGCCGAGAGACGTTGAACGACGTTTTCTCATGTGTGAATTGCTGCTTCAACGGCATAAAAGAAAAGGTTTTCTGCACCGTATCATCACTGGAGATGAAAAGTGGATACACTACGATAATCCTAAGCGTAGAAAATCGTGGGGTAAGCCCGGCCATGCATCAACATCGTCGGCAAAGCCGAATATCCATGGTTCGAAACTTCTGCTCTGCATTTGGTGGGATCAGCAGGGCGTAATTTATTATGAGCTGCTTAAACCTAATGAAACTATCACGGGAGCTCGCTATCGACTTCAGATGATGCGTTTGAGTCGAGCTCTAAAAGAAAAGCGGCCACTATACGGGCAGAGACACGACAAAGTCATTTTGTTACATGACAATGCTCGGCCACATGTGGCAAAACCAGTCAAAACTTACCTGGAAACGCTTCAATGGGAAGTTCTACCTCACCCGCTGTATTCACCGGACATAGCCCCCTCGGATTACCACTTGTTTCGGTCGATGGCGCATGGTTTGAGCGAGCAGCGCTTCCATTCTTTCGAAGAAACCGAAAAATGGGTCGATTCATGGATTGCGTCAAAAGATAAATCGTTTTTTCGACGGGGGATTCAATTACTGCCAGAAAGATGGGAGAAAGTGGTCTCTAATGATGGACAATACTTTGAGTAAAGTTATTGTAAGCCTTATATTTTAAATTAATGTTTTTTTTAACAAAAAAAACAGCGAGAACTTATTCAAGGTCCTAATAGAATTGCGATACTTTAATTGCGATACACCACCCAAATTTATTATTTCTACATTGATAAATATAAAAAAAAAACGATGTGAATTAATTGTCGAGAAATCTCCGTTCACTTCAGTCTTGCTCTTATTGCAAAATTATGAACAGAGGCGTATGTATATATAATACATATATAAATACAATATATGGTATTCGCGCAACTAAAGGTTTAGTAACTTTCCGTGACGATTTCCTCGCCGTTCCATTCGTCGCCCGAAATTATCGCCTGCATTTAACAGCGAGCTGTGCGGCGAGCTACTTGCAACGCGATGGATTCCATTTATGGGCGGAAAGAAATCGCAAATACCATTTGCAATGATTGTTTCGTTTGTGTCCGGACGAGATGTATCGCAGCACAAATATAATGAATAATATTCGTGGGAGCGTTTTGCATTGTTGTTACAACGGAGAGCATTTTCTTTCGCAAAAATACGATGCATGTAACGAAAAACAATGACGCTTCCCAATCGTACTGAATTGTGATTACCGTCGGAAACAAATATACGTAGGATTAGTTGTAATCAAATGTAGAACTATATGAAGAACCTCGCCCGAGTTTTCGAGCCTTCGTACGAGAAATTGGCGTTCAGTTCGTTCTCAACGCGTTTAGAAATTAGAGATTAGGGAGTCGTCGTTTATTTTTTCAAGTGCATCTAGAAAGAGACTGATAACGCGCACCCACATTATCCACGATCCGGATTAGTCGGGATTGCCTGATCTGAGTGAGAATATCTCGTTTTGAGAATATGGTCAATTTACGATACAAGTTCTTATGGAAAAATCATATTCATAACTTCTGAGTTGTAAGCTTCAACTTATTTAATTAAGCCATTAAATTATTAATAAAAATATTAAATTATAAGAGTGCTTAACATTGCAACAAGTTTTATTTTTTGTTTAATTTCAAGTTCAAACCTTCAATCTTTGATAAAATTTTTATTTTCGGCAAGCAACCGATGTGATTAATGTTGAATATAAAAAAATTGCGATAAATAATTTTTTTTTTCAATATTTTTTGATAAGAATCTAGGTAGACAAAACTTTCTCTTGTCTATTTAGAATATTATACCAGCGATAATATGCTTATGAAAAGGCGAGTTATTCGGTGAATCAGAATCAGGTCGTCCCGAAAACAACGTTAGTTCCTTTTTTTTAGTATATACGACTGCAAAATAACGTCGCTCCTCGGCTGACTTTTTCCTCGTGCATTTATCAAAGAATCTGCGCAAGTAATTAATCGCGTTCTCGCGGTAATACATTATAACAAATTGATTTCCCGCAATTGCGTTTCGGGAAAACTGGTTTGGGGAAATCGAGCAGCTGGGCCGGCGACGTTATTAAACTGTGTTAAAGTGTATGCGTGTGCATGTATGCCATCGCGGGAGGCGATTAATTAATCGCGTGACAGTGCGTGCGTGTGTAAATCCGCGTGTGTAATTAGCGTATTAACGAGCAGCAACGTTGTTAGAAGCGACGTAATCGCACCGAATAATCCATAACGAAAGAGTGACAGTTTTAACACATTTTGTCGCGCACAACGATCCGTCAGTTATAATATTGAACATCCGTTCTTCAGTTATGTCGCATTAACGCAATAGAATTTAAGGGACTGTTATTTATCGACATAGAAATATGTATTAATAATAAGACTGTCACTGTACATAACGGCATTCACAATAATTCACCTATCATTGCACTCTTGTAGATAACATTTTTAATTATTATTATTATTATTGTCACGCTGTACCATTGTTATTATTACTATTAACACTTACCTTTTTCTTATTATTATCACAATTAATATTATTATCGTTATCCGCGATTGTGACGCTTGTTTTAACCAAATTAAGCACCAAATTAACCAAATTAAGCGTGTCAAGGCTTAGTATAGCAGTAAATTACTGTAATATTATAGATTAGTTTTGTGCGAGAATATCGAGAAGTAAATATCGGAATCTGGTCAAAAAACAATGTTTCTATTGAAATTTTGAAAAAAGAGAAGCAACTATCTTCGTCTGTAACGGATATAATTTTTGCATATACGAGAATAATCGCAAAACTCTGAAGAACTTCTTCAATTCTTCAAAAATATAATTGGAGAATTAAACATGCCATTAAAAGGAAAAGAGCAACTTTATTAGTTTTGACTTAATATGTTAATTTTTTTGCACAAAATACAAAGGAAGCAACAAATGTTATTTATGTTTAATTGCGAAATGTGATCTTTAATTAGATTTTAAGTCTTAATTAGATCGGTCCATCGCATGGCGAATTTCATGCTTGTATATTAAATCCGTTCAAAGGGATACGACGATAGTTTCTCAAGTACTAAATTATGATAGTCGACGACGAGCTAAGGAAGTAGCCTTAAAGTAATTTATTCGAATAGATTATTGACGTAAAAATGTAACGATACCGATTAGATATAACATACACTGTAGCTTGCCAGTACGAATAGTGTTAAGGGATATCTTTCGAACTTTTTGCGAATCGATCTTTTGTATAAAAGAGGCTCCAAACGACAAATATGTATTGTCATTCGATACGAAGTATACAAAAGCCAATCGACAAAAAGAGAATATCGAAGGCTACGTATGCGCGTACAATACGACATGCAAGTTTATGCGTATTTGGCTGTAATTAATTTCGCTAAAGCGATGTTTGAGAATTCGTAAAGAGTGAAAGTTATCAGAAAGTTAAATAAATGTAACGAATGCATATTATATCGGTGACAATATAACTCTATTATTCGCAGACTAGATGTACCAAATTGTTTAATACATTTCGATGGTTTTATAATATTGCAAATGTATAAATAATTGCATATGTGCAAGTTTTTAGATTTATTTAACTTGTAAATCGGACGTTACATTTAATATAGACACATTTTCGTCGTTTTTTAAATCGGACGAAAACAAATTTCTACTCTGTACTTTGATACTCTTTTTTACATTTCACCACTTCGAAAGTGTTTCACTGCCAGAAAACAATATCAGACTTGAACACATCGCGAGCGCGATTTTTGCACTCGAGCGAAAATTTTGTTAAGTAAAATTGTACGCGACAAAAACTTTATGAGAAAACGGAGGCTATATACGTAGACAATAGTGTGTCAACCTCTCATATAACTTACTGTTAGCAGTAACTTCATTAATCACATACAGTATAAGTAGCTATTGTAATAGCGAGCGAAGAAACATTTACAAACGATCATACGCTGTCGCCGATCGTACACCATTCCTATATAATGTATCGTAACAGTATTTGCTATTGCACTAATGGTAGTAAAAAAGCTGTTAGTATAAAAATTGTGGTTTTATTAATCAACCGTCAACCTTTATTTTCCCTAATTAAATTCAGAATGGATAAATTTGGCACAAAGAACTGATTGCGATTTTCTTACCCTTGTTAATCTTTTTATTTTTTTGTTTCCTGTCTAAATAATTATATAACAGAGATATTATAATATTAATGGTAAAATATAAGGTTTCAGAAATCAGTATATTATATTTAAACACCTTTATTTAGTTGCATTTTATTAAAGCACAAATTCTTCCATATACGTACACATTTGTCTACAATTAAAGATTTAGCAGCAGTAAAGAATAATTTATAATAATTTATAGTAATTCTTATTCCTCATAACGTAATTTTTTACCCTGAAAAGTTTTATCATATTAGAACTATCACATTCAATCAACTTTTATTTAACATGAGACACGAAAATCCTTTCGATATAAAAGTCTTGAAAATGACTATATTGATTGAACGAGAGAACAAAAAAGAAAATTCCGATGATAATAACAATGTCGTAAGCTACATAAAGAGAACTTCCAGTATCTTCAAGCGAGGCGTCGCAGGATATCGTTAATATACGTAGAAGGATTTCTTACATCTTCTAACAAGCCTGGAAGAAAATATTCACTTTTTAACATTTAGACAATTAAAAAATTTCATACAAAAATAAAAGTCAATAATTTGTAAGAAATTCAATTTAAGTAGAATTTGAAATATAACATTTAAATCTTTCAATATTTCTTGTGCGTTTACAAACTTACCAACAATATCGCAAAACTCTTCAAATGATGCGCACGGCAATAATTCATCGCGATATGACGAGAGCACGCGTTCCGAGGCTTTTAACATGGCTTCATCATTATGCCTGATATATTCAGCGAGAACCGAAGGCCACTGGTCGTCGGACAAAACATTTACTTTCTGTAAGTATAAAAAAAATATTTAAATAAATAATTATAGCCTTTCGATAAACATAGTTAAAAATGACTTGAATTTGCTTTTACCTTGAAGAAGTTTCCGTAAATACAATCCACTAGACCGAAGAAGATTAGAATGTTTTTGTAAACGGTATATTCCTTGGTGGTTGGTTCCATGATGGTCTTCGTAGTGGCTGAGGGAGACACGTAACGTTGATGTGCGAGAACGAGTAATCGATTGAGATGTGTAAGCCTATGCGACTTCCAACGAGCGGGCGTAAGCAAGAGCAGCGAAAGCGTGCACTGATACAATGGGCCCTCCGCTTCGTAACAACTGTCGAGCCACGCTGAGCCTGGAGGAACTTCTACATAGGTCATCAAAGCTTTGTCTTCTCTAGCTGCAGATCGTGTTCTGCAAGCAAACATTAATTGTGTCATTGTGTGTACGTTTTAATCTCCTACTTTCTTGTTTTGAATTTTGCAATTATCGATAATTCTCAGTACGTTATTAAAATGTACTTACGTATTAACGACATACAAAGCCATGTGTATTAAATACGGTATTATATGCATATTGGATTGGGGACCTCCACCGCCAGTGTCCTCGTGGAAACTCTTTTCTTGAGCGAATCGTAGAAGGAGCAGCTTCAAGTCGTGAATAGTCGACGAATAAGATATATCACGGTGACTAGTGCATTCTTGCAGATAGGTATTATGCCTGGCTAGACAGCTGGCGAAAGCGGATTCTGGAACCTGCGGACCCCATAACGGCAGCAATCCATTGCATTTCGTGTTTGCGTTTTGCAGCGCCGCGCTTTCCCATTCATCTCTAGCGCGAGCCAAACGCACGGCCGACATATGGCAATCTACGTGGACTACGTTGAAATGCGTGACGGTCGTGTAGCCTACGGTTTTTCGTTGTTTCGTCTCGAATTCTTCTACATTACAACGCTTCGTGAATGTGTAAACGCCTAGCACCTGTAGCAGATCGATGATAACGAATGAAATGGGTAAATAAGATAAATAAAATATGTAGAGACTTATTAAACCATCAATATTTTTGCCAACAAAAATCGATTTCAAATTTCTCGAAGAAAAATATTATTTATGTGCTACTAATTCAGAGACATTTTATATAAATAAAAATATATCTTCTTTTTTTTATTTTTTATAAGTAATAAAACAGATGAAGAATATTACCATGTTCGGTTTGAACTTATATCCCTCGCGACAGATAACGCAGATCAGTCCAGTCTCGTCGCCCAAGTCTTCCATCTGCTGAAGAATCGTTCCACTAGCAGTGACCTGGCCCTTATCGTTCGTCTGCATGCCAAGCGCGCCCAGCTGCCTCTCTCGCATCGCCATAGCTAAGCGTTTCTTCTCGCTGCGCGTGTGCTGGCGCGCTTCGTCAATAAGTTCAGCCACCCGCTTGTTGGTGCACAACGCTTCCAACAAGTTCTCCGCCAACGAGCCAACGTGCTCGTTCGAAGACACTTGCTCCAGTCTATGGATTATGCTAATAGTTACTTGCGAAACTGTCAACTGCAAAGGAATAAGAGAACGACACGTTGCATTAATTAAAGAATCATATCATTATTAATAAAAAAGGATTGTGAAATAGAATTTACTGTCTGCATTACCTGAGTCGGCTCGTGATCGGTGGCCAACCCTGTGAGGAACCGTAGAATATACTTCAGAGCTGGTTTCGATATGAATTCCTTTAGTTCGTCGCTATCTGTGCGTAACAGCGTTGGCTTAACACACGGCGCGTGCACCTGCAACGACGCAAAAGCACGAGAAAAAGTTTAGCTAATTCTACGTAACACACTTTTACACTTATGAGTGTGCTTTACTTACAGTGATATACTCGAAGGCATCTTTCACTATACCCATACTAATGATATAATCCTTCAGCGTATTACCAATCGCATTGCGTTCGATGCCTTGAGTGAGCGTGCAGAAGAGCTCGAGCTTCTGCTCGTCTTCGGGCGTGTGCTCGAAATCGAACTTGTAAAAGTTCAATACAGGCTTGAAGTAATCGCACAAGAGGGCCATTTTCTCTTTGTTGCCGTAAGTCAGCGCTGCCAGAACCCTCGCGAGGTGGGCGAGCACGCTAGTACTTTGCCTGACTGCTGTGGACTGCGTGCACGATAGGAGTGCCTTAATGTGTTCCGGGCCACCCAGAGTGCGCGAAAACGCTTCGAAGGCGTTGAATGGCTGTGACGCTGCATTTGCCAATATTGTTTCCATAATCTGAAACCAATAAGAAGGGTTTAACGTTTGATATCGCAATATCGAGCAAAAGCAATTGCTTTGCAATAATACTTACATCCAATAATTGTTCAGTGACTTTTGCTTGAGAATTTTCAGATTCTGTAGCAAGACAACGTTGAAGAACATCCAGAAATACGGTGACTGCTCCCAATTCGGGTTTGCTCAGAACTTCTTGATTCTTCTTGACCTTCACGCACAATCTGAACAATTTCAATAGCACTTGAAGAAGGGGCCTTGCTCGATTCACGTCGATTATCGCCGCTAATCTGTCCAACATAACTTGAAGACCGCCGCAATCTGCTAGCACGTTTGCCATTTTGTAAACTTCTTCGTTGTTCACCTCCTGTTCGCTGCTAGCGTTCAATGTTTCCACAAATTCTTCGGTTGCGTCTCCAAGAAGGCCGCGCATACGATATATCACGCGCATGGCGTCGCATTCGCCGCCCTCTAGCACCCAAATCTTTTTATAAACCTAAAAAAAAAAAAAATAGTTTAAGTAACTTAACGAAAATAATGCACGTTTTTAAAATTAATTAATGACCAAATAACTAATAAAATTAATTAGTTTTCTAAAAAATAGGCACATATATCCGTTTTATATTCATATAAATATCTTAATATAATGTTTATATGAAAAATTGTAGCGATTTTACCTCTTTAACTGGAAGATCCAGACTAATGATTTTGTTGTTAACGAGAAGCTCCATTCCATTATCGTCTTCTAGAAGTGCAACCAACTCACAATCCTGGCAAATCTTGTTTTTAACGTCTCTCATAAGTGGACCGAGTCCAGGTTCTAAACTGCTATAAGGATTTCCTAACATCCTCCCCTACAAAAATGTAAACCATAAAAATGAATAAAATGTAAAATACTGCGATGCATTGAAATTTTATATTTTAAACAAAAAAATAATTCGGAACGTTAATCAGCTAGTATATCTCTTAGGAAAATTTACTTTAGACTGGCCTAAAGTTTATTAAAATTTTGTTTAGTAACTTTAAAAATTTGAAAAGTTCTTTTAAGTAACTATAAAATTTTTCAAGTTTTGTTTAAGTTATTTCAGAGTTTTAAAAATATCCTTGAATTTTTGCTTCTTTAGTTACTGAAAACATAAAGTTCATGAAAAGTATCTAAAAGTTTATGTGAAGTAATTTAATGGTGGTGTTTAGTAACTTAAAGTTGGCGTAAAAGTAAGTAAAAGTTTGTGTAAAGTAACTTCAAGTAACTTCAAAGTTAAGTTTTGGTCCTTGCATTAACCTGCAGATTAATTGCAAATTCTTTTTCCTTGTTTATTACTTCTATATTACACATTTGTATTCACTAATATTAATACTGGGAAAATTTACTATATAAAACTTTTAAAAAATAATTTAAGAACACTTTTTCATTTGTTAAAGAAATTTTTAAAAGTTTTTGAAGAGTAAATCCTATGTTAAAGTGTTCAAATTTACTCTTCAAAACTTTTAAAAAGTTCTATAGTAAATAAAAAAGTTTTCTCAAGTTATTTTCTTTAAGTTTTAAAAAGTAAATTTTCCTAAGGGATGTCATGTTCTAGACTTGTGTAAAAATAACAGATGGAAGAAATGCTCACCTGCAAGAAATCTTCCTGCTGTGGATCCTTCTCGAGCGTCAAGAAAAATTCCCCAATGTCATTTTCCTCTGGATAGATAATCGAACATAATCTCTCAAATATGAATACCGGGGTACGAACGTCTTGAGGATTTTGCTTTTGTATCGTTTCCACGCAAATCGCCATGAATGCCTTCGTTTCCTCTTCAGTGCCTAATATGGCAAGATAGATATATTACAATCTAAATTGATTTAAAAAATGCTATAAAATATAAAAAGCTGTAAGATTACCAGAAGTCATTTCTTCTAAGAGTTCCAACAGCTTCTCTTGCGTATCATCGATCAGTCTGGTGCGTTGAACAACGAGTCTCCTGAGTGACAGGTAACCGTTTAGGACAGCGCCGACTAGTCGGCCCTTGTACTGCTGCTTGATATTTTCCTGTTCCAAGAAGGTCGCCAGAAGTTCCGTGAGCATTTTCAACGAGTATCCCTGAGCGAGGTCGCTAGTTAACGTGGTTTCTTCCAACCGATGTAATTCCTCTATTTCACGAGTTAAGAGATCCGCCAATAAAGTCATTACGCCGCGTACTGCCAGGAATTGTTTCCAAGGTGACTGCCTGATTAAGCTTTGATACAAAGTAAGGAACTCGGTGCTACTCTCGCCGGCGGAGCGCAGCTCCTCCAAATAGCACGTCAGCAAAACCAAAACCTCCTTCTTCCTCTCCGTGCCTTGGCACAGGCTCTCGATCATATTGCAAGCGACTTGCCGCGCCAGTCGGGAACTGGGATTGAAAAGGACTTCTTTCAACCAGGCACCGTCGGACAGCTTCAGCGGTTGAGCGCCTTGCTGCCTCATGCAACGTTGATGCCATCTGTGTCCGTATTTTTCCATTAGGTACAACATTCGAGCTTCGTCCTGAAATAAAAATAAATTATAAAACGTTAAGCGTCTTAATTTTCTAGGATACATATTTCGTAATCTTGTAATTAATAATTTATTTTAATTTGCTTGTTTATATTTCACGCTAACCTTTTTAAGAGACTTAGTCGAGGATGAGTCTGTCTTCTTAGCCGGCACGCGACGTAGCCATTCGGAATAGGAATGCTTGGGATCGCCGCTGATCCACTTGCTCACATCAATGCTGATGCCTTCCGGTGGTTGCACCGTCGCCAAAGACTCGATAGTTTTATCCTGAAATAGAAATCACATCGTGAAATTATATACATTACGAACGGGAAGAGTTACGATCGATTAAACACCCACTTTATTTTTCTTGGAAACTGGCTGATCCGGTTTGATAAGACCTTGCAAAATTTTCAGACACGGTAGGATGATGCTTTCCATTACAACGGGACTCTTTGACTCCTTGCAAGCCGTCAAAAACAGCTGCATGACGCATCGCAGTTTCTGTTCCCAGCACGAGTCCTCCTTTTGCACGAGCGCCGCGAGGAGCGCCATTTCGTGTCGCACAGCGACCGAGAGATCAGGGGTGGCGACACGTCCGCGAAGCGTCAGCGTGATTCGATTAGTCAGAAGCGAGCATATCTCTTTGGTCGACTGCGCGTTGTCCCTCGTGACCAGGCACAGCAGCTGTCGCACCTCCTCCTGCATCTGCACCGTGCCCTTTCGCAGATTGTGCTCCACGAGCTCTTGAATCAGTCCTTGTTTGCAGAGAACGTCTCTGGCTACGCTGTTCGTGGCCAGCGCGCGCAGCAACGTCAGACAGTGCTCCGTGGCGGCGGACGCGCAACCATAGCAGCGTCCGACCGGTGAGACTATCGCTTCGTCCTTCGTGACGTCGGTCGCGCTGGATGTGCTGTACGACAACTGCGAGCTGCTCTGACCCCGCTGGTTCCTGTCGTAGGCGACAAGCTCCCGGCGGCAGGCTAGAACGCGTTGAATAATCTTGCTGAGCTCCTCGAAGGACGTCTTGCACTCGCCGCAGTACCTCTGCGCGAGCAGCTGTATCGCTCTGTTCACCTGAGTGCTGCCGGACACCTGTATGCCGTCCTCCAATCCTCGGTCCAAGCGATGCTCGGATATCTTGATGAGAAGCATCTCCAGCGTCGGCTTGTTGGATATCAAGGTCTTGTACACCCTGTCCGCCTTCTCTAGAAGCGTATTGATGGTCGCCACGGTCTTCTTCCGATCGTCGTCGTTCTCGATGGGATCGACGGCGCAGCACGGTCGGCCGGTCAGAGTATAATCGAACTTGGCGTACTTGCAGAATCCGCAAGCGTGGCACAAGAACGGGTCCTTCTCGTCGTAGTTGATCGCCCGGCACTTGTGGCACTGGAACACGTTCTCGCCGCAATTCGCGCAAATGCCGGGATTCGCCGGCACGCTGGCGGAGCACCGCGGGCACTGCAGCGTCTCGGACGACGCCTGAATGTTCTCGTAAAATCGGCGTACTCGATCATGAGGTTGCAGGCTACTATCGGCAGGGGGAATTCCATTTTCACCTCCGTCTGGCCCTGGGCGAGCGTGATCTTCTTCGCCTTGTGCCACATCGCCGGCTTGTTCTTCAATTCCACGACTGCCTGCACCGATCGATTGTTGTAATAGACGTTGATGGTGCGAACCATTTTCGTTCTCTTCAGATCGCCGATGCGTAGAGTGATGCGGCTGATGGTATGACTGCCGACCAGCTTCACGATCTGCGTAGTCGTCGTAAATTTGGAATCGACTTTGATCGACGACAGCTTGATCGTCGCCATTGGCACTTCTGGATTATTGCATACAAGACAGGGTTCGCTCTCCAAGTAATAGCCGTCCAATTCGACGAATTGCGCCAGATTTACGTAAAGATTCGCGTTAGGATGCCGCGCGAGCAATTGATTCTGAGCGTGCAGAACGGCGACTGCCTGCTCCATGTAAGTGTGCATCTTCTTTCCGGCATGCGGCGTTTTCAAACAGAAATAGCCAAGCAAATCGACAAACTGCGCTGCTTTCCTGCCATAAGCTGGCAGCAGAGGCCACAAACGCCATAGAAGATCCAGCAAGACTTCCTGATCGGTCGGTCCACAATTTCTGAAAGTTGAAATATACATTTTATATTTTATATCATATTTCATATTTTATATTCACATTTATTAATATTATTCTTACTTTGATTATTACGAATACTTTATTTTTACTTTATTTAATTAGCCCTTTCGATACAGAACAGTGCAATGAAGAAACACTCTGTGTGGCCGGAATAAAAATAGCAGTAACAAGCGCTGTGAGCGCATATATGTGCCGACAGTACTCGAAGGATTAATTAATCTATTTAAAGAATAGAACGATTAATAACTCACTTGTAAATTGCAAGGATAAGAGAATGAGCTTGCCAACGAACGTTTGTATTATTCGTCTCAAGAAGGAAAGTCTGTATAAACTTCATCAACAACGTTGGATGCACTTGCTTCTGAATTTGCTCGACTAGAGTCAAACATTGGGCTTCTTCAAATTTGGCTTCCGTATCAGAATCCTCCGATTTTTCGCGTTCACGCCTTTCTTTCGTGCCAGTTGTTGATTTAGATTCCTGATTTAAAATTATATGAACATTAATATACATACAAATATATATATTTGTTAATATTAGAATTTTGCAATTCAATACATTGTTATATGTACCTTCGATTTAGTATCTTTAGTTTCTTTAGCTTTGTTGTTCGAGCAAATGGCACACTGCAGCAACTGCAACACCGTCGGGCTTACGCCTTCGTCTAAGAGCGTCGATATGGCAAAGAGATACGATAAGACGGTGTTCTGCTTTAAGCAAAACCGCTGCCAGTTTCCTGTACGACTGGTAGCAATTTCCACGCAGCACTTGAGATGCTCGATCAGTTCCACCAACGAATCATAAGGTAGATTGATGGAATGTGGACGTGCGTGCAGCGGATCGTATCCGCCGGTGGTACAACATTGCTGCACGGACTGGCAACAAGAGTTCAATAACTTAGCGAATTTAATTTACAGTATTATAAAACACAAACAGTAATATATTTTGTATAACTCACCTGAACGTGAGATATGAGGGCATGGAGATCCCGTAGTTGCCTGTACTTTTCCTTGTTGCCGCAAATGAAGAGTAGCAATTTGCGTACTTGTCGCCTGACGAACGGTGTTTGATACGACATCATGTACTCGCAAAGGTAGAAGTACCACGGCTGCAAAGATGAAGTAGAAACAATTTGTCATTCATTCTTCCAAATAAAAAAAAAAGCAACACGCTGCGAGAAAGCTAGTTACCTGTTCGAACGCAGGTTGGACCACGGTGCTTTCCGCGTATTTGTGCACCTGATACGGCAATCGTAGCACCATTTCCGTCAGCAATTGAGGATAGGGCTCGAATACATCGCCGGCATGGCCTTTGACGTATTGACGCAGGAAGAACGGTGACATATCCGGAGGCGATGTGGTGAGATGTTCCTTGAGTAATTGGCCGCCGATCATCGTGCCAGGCTCCTCTGTGCTGGTGCTAGTGAATAAAATATCTTATTTTAATATAATGAATTATAATGTGAAGTCAAGTTCACTTCGACACGCTGCAAACTTACGTTTTCCAATAGTCGAGTAAAGCCTGTAGCAGTGTCAGGCAATAATCGATGATGCCAGCTTTGCTCAAGATCGCAGCGGTGGTTTGCGACACAAAGTTTGGATTGTCCGAGGAAGTCTTCGTAGCATATTTCGAGCGAGACATAAGAACGCCTAGGAAAATAATAATGAATTAATGATAACACGTTTTGACACGTAATCGGAATAATAAAGATAATTATTCACTTACTTAGTAAACGCATAATAACCAGATGAACTTCCCTCTTATTGCTACGCTCGCATATGTTGTTCGTATCAGGCTTATCCATCTCCAGCTCTTTCACGAGCATTTGCAGCAAACGTTCCACGCAAGCTTTATCCCGTTCATCTTGCCCGTCAAGGTCAGCGGTTAACATTAACACAACCTAAAAGAAAATAGAAGCTTTAATATTTTCTCTGCTTATTTTTTCTAGCGTGGATTTGCATAAATAAGTACCTGCATAAATGGAATGGCAAGCACTCCACGAACGTTTATCAAATTGGGCACGAATTGTGTAAATCTGTCCAACAGTAAGAGCCGTATGGCATGTAATTTAACAGTAATTTCGCCAGTCGTGTCATTTTCCTGTTCAACGCCTTGTTCTTGTTCGGCGCCTTCTTCTTGCTCGGTGGTCTAATCATGGTGACAAACAATTTATAAATATAAAATGCACTTCTATCTTCTACTAATCGATATCACTGTTTCTAGTTTCCGAACTATACTTCTGAAATTCTGTTATCAGCTTTTTAGAAAAGAATCGATATGCATGCGTTAATAACATGTTTGAAATATATATGAAAATTTGCAGAGAAAGATATTATTAACGCATGCAATATGATTATTCAGTTATTGCCTTCTCGAAATAAAATCATGAATGATATCAGAGCAACAAACGAAATTGGCTCAATTTCGAGGCCTCAATGGAGTACAGTTTATGTCTAGCCAATTTATTTCAGCTTCTGTCATCTTCCTCAAAGTTCTATGCACATTTTCATTTAATCAAAATATTTCAGATATTTTATACACTTAAAGCCGGTATGAGTAAATTACGATCTGTACTCTATTCAAACTCCGACAATTAAAGGGATTCAACGAAGTCTTATAGCACGTTTGATAAAAATGTTTAATGAAATATCTGTTCAATTCTATGATATTTGATTTTTCGCAAATGTTCTTGTGGCAGTGTGGATTAAAGGCAACTTTTGAGAACGGAGGTCCAAGTCTCTAATGATTAATAATAAAATAAAAAATAAGAAAAAAAATTTGTAAAATTAATTTTTCATAAAATGTCATATTGAAGATGTATTTCATGAATCTTTTGAATATGGCACTTTTCTATGGCGATGAAATTATGCTAGTAAGAAGTAAACTCTATTTTCCAATTTTTTATAAAAAAAAAATATGCATGTTTTGCATGTACTATGATAGACGCATACAGCATGCGCAATTTCGATATATTTAATTTTGATCATTTCTCTGCAAGATTACCATTATTCTGCGATGATTTATGATGATGTGATCTCCAAATAAGAATTCAAACATATAAAGTTTTCAATAATACATATACATACATATAGATAATTTTCAAATCACTACTACATGTTATTCTTCCTACAGGAAATTTAAAATCTTTGTATGCATTACACATGCGAAAGGAGCTCATTAAATTTAAGCTCTCGGATTGGAGTTAGTTTCTAAAAAAAGAATGGACTATGAGAATCTTATAAACAATCAAGATTTTACGAAAAACTAAAGGAAATTGTGATAAATCAATTTCAAGATAACAATAACGAATAATACCGAATAAAGAAGAAGGAAAAAAATATTACATTACGAAAGGAAACAAGAACGACACACTGATAAATTGGAACGCGAGTATCGTATCCAGTCGCCGCCGCTGCTTCTCCTGCTTTTCATAATATACGTAAATCTGCTATGTAAACCTGTACTACAGAGTACACGGAACTTACAGTGAAAGTCGTGGGAACATCTAGAGTATTAGTTTCAGAGCGTGGCGCTTGATTGACTCCAATTCCAATCGGAGGCATAGCATTGTCAGGAGCATTGTCTCCGTATGCGGAGCTCCTGCCAGAAACATTATGCTCCCCTGTCATGCTGTCAACGGCGCTGCCTCCGCTATCGCTTCCACCGCTCTCGCTACCCTTGCTACCACCACTACCACCCTAACATAAAATGTGTCCCAAGCGTTACTACGATATGTGCAAGTACTAAGACTCTGTTGATCCACGTCCACATACTTTCGGTGAATAGTAGTGCCAAGGCAGACTATGCCAAGGTATACAACTCACTTGCTCGGCGGGTGATGTGCGAAGAGTGCTACCGTCAGTAGCGGCGGTTGAGCCCTCGTCGTCGGAACCGCCCGCGGAAGCAGTCGTGTCGGAATAATGTCCGCCTTCTTGGCCCTGGTTTACGAAAAAACATCAAAGCGTTGAAAAAAAAATCACAATCAAAAATATAAAATCTGAACGGTACATTTGTAAAGACGATAGACGCGAAAGAACATTACCTGAGCGGCGTTCGGGACTTGAACCAAGCCTTGCGTCGCTAAACTTTGCAAGCTTTGCAGCGCAGACCCGCTCAGATTTTGCAGACTCTGTATACCCTGCAGATTGGGGAAGCCTTGCTGGAATCCCTGTCGCAGCGCCTGCAGATCGGCGCCTCCCTCGTGATCCTGCAAGCTGAGAGCTATCGCGAGTTCCACCATCGCCTCGTCGTCGGCGTCGGGCGGAACGTCGAGCAGCTGCGGGAAATTGCCCGCGCCGAGCATAGCCGCCAACGGTTCCAGCGGATGATTCACCACTCTCGCGGCGGCTGAATTCTGATTGCCTTCGGCGCCGAGTATAGCCGCTACTCTGTCCACCGCTTCGACGGCTTCGATGTCGAACTGCTGCTCCACGTCGCGCTCCACCGTGTCTTGCGACGTCTGCGATGGAACCGACGCGGACTTTTCTTCGGTTTCGGCGACAACGCCTACTTACAAAAGTATCAACGTGATGATAACGAAAAACAACGATCGAGTATACAAATTCGATTCTGTTTCTTGTACCTGGAGTGCTGCAGTTCGGTGGACTCGGTATGTACACTCTTCTGCGTCTGTATCTTGGTCTAAGCACTCTGATCACCGCGTGCTTCGCGCTAAAACTAATGGTGGTGTCCGACGACAGCAACAATTGCAGATACAATTTAGCAGCTATCGGGGTGTTATTTTCCACGTCGCATATTGTGAAAGCGTGAATGATTTCCACGATGGCGTGAACCGTTCCCTCGGTGTGCGTCAGTCCTGGCACCACCACTGGAGCGAGCGCCATATTTTTTGGATAAGCCATGTGCAAGGACCACAGTATCTCCATCAGTTGGATGACCAAATGTTGATTTCCGTCCGTCTTCGCGCGCGAATGAGCCTCTAAGCGATCCTTCTCGAAAACGGGTACTAAAAATAAATTAAATTAGCGCTTTCACGTCGTTCGTTTTTTTAATTCTTACGTTTAAAAATAATGCAACACATACCGGTGCCTTCGTCGATCGAATTGTTCGCATATTGTTCAGCAAACTTCGCAAGATTGTGCGGACGAGAAACAGCGATAGCACGAACGATAAGTACAAGTCTGTAAAAGTTTTCCGCGTCTATATCCGCAGGATCATTAGCCTCCCGCATCGCCTTCAGGGACTCAAGCACATGCGATAACAATGAATGATCCTGAAAAGCGCGCAGAAAAAAATGTAATAAATGTAATCATTGAAAATATAAACGTATAATTGATCGTTGTATACCTTGTGAAAATGATAAGCTTGCTTAGTAATGTGAAGAGCAGCCAGCAAAGCTGTCGTATGCATCTGCACTGACGGTGGCGTAGGTAATATTAACAATCGCGACGCGACGTCGATAGCCGTAGTCTTCAGCGAGGGTTTGTCATCGTTCGACGATAAGATGAACGAAGACTCCAGGACTTCAAGAATGCTGGATATCATTCTGTAAATTTAGAAAATTATTATTGTAATAAATACGTGTTAAATTCACTGATTAATTCATATTCATTAATACATATTAATTCACATTCATCACATATTAATTTTATGTAATTTAAATTGGTACAATTAGTGATGCAATGGTTTGTTAAAAAAAAAATAACTTCAATTCTTAATTAAATTATCATTAGAATTTGTTTCGCATACTGTCAATCAAGGATAAATCTTTTTCTTTTCCCGTAAAATTTGCATGATTTAATAAAATTACTGTAACACCAATTGTCAGATCTATCCTTTTACTTCATTTTTATGATAATAAAAATTACAATAAGTCCTTACCTTTCTATATTAATCGAACTATCCTTTGTCGTTCTGATACATAGATTAAAACATACTTTCTTTATAAAATAATTAACTTGCTATAATATTTCACATAAAAAAATTTTTTTTACATACTTATCAATTGAAGACAAGGGCGCGGGAGAAACAATAGTATTATCAGCTTCATTATTGATCGTCGTCACCGGCGCAGATGTTGGTTGACAAGATTGGATTTCTTCTATTTCTTCAGGCCATCCAAACGCGTCCTTAGTCTTACCATATCTTTGTAAAACAAACAAAATTTAACATGAATCTCTAAAAGATTATATAATACACAGTAGCATTACAATTATACTAACATTTTTATAGAATCAACCATAATAACGCCCTCTGGATCTTGAGACGGTCCGAAAGTGATCGTTAATTTTTTGTCAGCTTGAAGACTTTCCTCTCTCGTTAAAGGAATATCGAACCAACGACTTCTAGTCAACGTAGTCCGAATGCTCCTTCCAAATACCTGACACAGGGACAATAATTATTAACACAAATTGTGGAATTCAAGAACTTCATATATCGTATATAAATATTTCAACTCACTTCGACGTACAGAGGCGCCCTCTGAATATCCTGGTTGCCGAAGAGCACTCTTATTCCCGTCATCACCAAAATCGCGTCGTTGTTCGTGACTTCGACATTGAAGCCCATCGCTTTCGTGGAGACCACGTACATTCCGGTGGTGTTCAGGCGATGCTTGATCTGCGAGACATTGTAGATCTGCAGTAGATCGTTGCCGCCGAATTCCACGTCGTTCATCACCTGACAGTGCTCGAAGAAGTCAATGGGGAACGTGATGGAGCCCGACGGCTTTCCCATCTTGTTCGTCTTCTTCTTCCGCGTCGGCTTGATGCCGGCGGTGGTGCTGATCGGCTGCACGGTGGACGACATCCAGAATCCGGTTTGCTCCATGCCGGCCATGTAGATTCTCAGACTGCCGTCCTCGCACAACAATATCAGAGTCGTGCGGTGCTCGGCGTTCGAACTGGGATGCCGGATCGCGACCATGTCCATGATCTTCGCCTTCGCGGGCACAATCTTGATCTCCTGTATCATAATCGTGTCGGGTTTGATCATCAGTATCACGGGATTGTTGCTGGTCTGCAGGATCGAGCACACCAATCCGGGATGATTCGCCACCTCGCTCCATTGGCACAAAGGCTGCGGCTGGTTATTGTTGGATTTGTTCCCGTTCGTCTTGTTACTGGCGAGATTGATTTGGAACACCACAGTGATGTCGGAGTCCATGTGCTTCAGCGGCGCAATGAAGCTCTTGCCGCAGGCGTAACTGAAGAACAACAGCTGCAGAGCGTGGGAGTAGTAAATGGAGACTCCGCCGCCGCCCACCTGACCGTTGTCCTTTATCTCCGGATGATAAACGTCCAAGGTGTTCGTAACGTAGAAAGCACCGTGCTTGGCTTGGCTCTCCTCGTCCATCACTTGGCTGTAAATATATCCGGCGGAGGACATGAGCAGCATGTGGAACGTGCCATCCTCCGCGTGCATGAAGGTGCAGTCTCTTATCTTTCCCGTCGGCACGAGGAAGTAGTACTGCGGGCTCAGCGCGTCCTTCCCCAGGTCGTAGATTTTCACGAAATCGGCGGTGACCAGCGCCAGCTGAGTCTGCGCGCCGGGAAGCCACAGCGCCTTGATGATGAAGTTTCCACTTTCGAGCTGGGGATGCAGGACCAGGTGATCCGACACTGTTCCCGAGCTGTTGAACGTAAGCACATGGCAATCCTTGAAACCGCAGACGGCCAGGAAGTCCTCGTTCCACTGATTTCCGGTGACGGAAAGAACGGTGAAGGGTACCGGAGCCGAGGCGAGTCTCGTCAGAGTCAACTTTCTCTTGGAGGAGTCTGCTTGCTTCAAGAGCGCGCTAAGCTGCAGCACCGTTATCTTTCCCTTTTCGTGTGAGACAGCCAGGTGCTGCCGTTTGCCGTGCGGAGACGACAGACAGCACATAGCGACACGTCGTATCATATGAGCGGACAGCAGCTGTCTGATCGTTTGACCCTGATCTCCCGAGTAATTCATCCTGACGTTTTCAAACGCGCCTTCTTGAGAGCCCAAGGTTGGCAGCATAAGCTGGTCCGTATGCTCAAACTTCTTGTCGAGTGTGTGCAAATGCTTGAGCGCCAACTGAGCTCGCGCGTGACAGCCGACTGGCGAGTAGCGCTGACAAGACGCGTTCACCGCAGGCACTAACGCACGCGTCAGATCCACCAGCGAAGACACCAATCCGCTCTTCCACAGCTCCGAGTATATCCAGTCCTTGGACGACTCGAGCTGCTTGACCAGATACGCTTGGCGCTGTGTGTCGCGTCCGCTCCTCTCGTGCTTGTCGTACAGATGCACGGGGCTGGATGCCCTTCGGCGCAGGCTGCTCGTAAGAAGCAGATTGCTTTCCGCGGGAGCGCCGACATTGTTGTACGGTATGTTACCGCCCACTTGATGCTCCGAGCTCTGCGGGCTACGCTTCGTCAACGCTTGACACGATCCGTCGTCTTTGGCGCCGCAATCGCAAAAGAAGTTGCCGTATTTAGCGTACGTGACGTCGTGGCCGCGATGACAGACTCGGGCGCACACTGTGCACACGCCGACGCCGTCGACCATGTTGCAGGTGTGACAGTGGTACCAGTGTTGATTCATAAACTCCTTCTGCGTGATCGTGAAGGTGCACAGCTTGTTGCAGAGGCTGTCCTCGTCCGAATCCTCGGCCGCGCTGTCGTCGTCCTCGTGCGGAATCTCGTCCACCCAGTCGCTGTCGTTCACATCGTTGCTCGGTAGAGCGCCCTCCCACGGCGGGCTGGTGGCCCGATCCTGCGACTGCGCCTGCTGCGGACAAATCGCGCCCACGATGTCGGCTATGTAGTTGAGCATGCAGCAACCCGCCTCGATGTACGGCGACGGCTTGTCGAAGGTCTGCGGGTCCTTGTTCATAATCTGCTCCTTGCAAAGTTCCACCCACTCGATGGCGGCTCTGAACAGCAACGTGTGTCCTTTCTCCGATCCAGCGTCGGCCAGCGTGGACATTATGTGCATCAATTCCGAGAACCGATTCCCTTCGATGGTGGGAGAGAGAATGTGATACGCCAACGGTATGAGAGCCTGAAGTATGGTTATTGAGACGCTCGTACTGACGTTGCTTTTATCCTTCACTATGTAATTGGTGAGCGCGCGCAAGAAACGACTGTTCTCGTGGCTCGAATGCTGCTCGTCGTTATTAGTCGCGGGCTGATTGCTAGAACTATCGGAAATCGTCCACTGCGCCTGCTCGTTGTTGGACGCGTTATTTCTCTCATCTGGCTTCTGACTCTCTTCCGACGCGCCGGAGACAGTTACCAATGCGTTCGTAGTGCCGACTGTGTGCGTCGGTGCATTCGTTGCAGGAACATTCACCGGTACACTCGTTGCTCCTAATATAACGTGTCTCAGCCACGTTTGCAGCTTCTCGCTTTCGACATTGGCGAAGCTGGCCACCGAATTGCAAAGGCGATCCAGCGATCCGTCGCTCGATTTCTCGGCTGTTCTGAATAGTACGTTGAAAAAGTGCAAAATGTACGTGCTGAACTGCGGCGAAGCTTGAAGCGACGTTATGGACAGCAAAACGGACACGAGGCTGTGATTTGTGTCCGGTGCGAAGAACAAATCCAAAGCTTTGCATCCGAGAGGCTTCTCCAGCAGTCGCTCCCAATATTTTATGCACTGCTTCAAGATCTCCTCGTCGATAACAATGTTGATGGTTCCGTCCGCGTTGTCGGTGTACTCGATTATCAGATTGTAGGTGTGATTTAGCACAAACAGGTGCTCTCGCAAATGCCGCGCCTCATTGTCATTATCCTGGCCTAATAATTTGGCCAGAGTGTTCGTGGCCATCTCACGAAGATAATCAGTGCGTGCGTCCATCGACAACGCGATGAGAATGTCCACGGCCTGAGAATGCGTGTCGGATTGTTGTTCCGGGGCTGTCGCGGGCGTGATGTACTCCATCATAAACGAGACCAAGCAATACAGCAGGTTCTTCAGTGACGGATTGATAGAGAACGTCGGATGTTCCGACAAGGAACTGACATGGTAATTGACCGTGTTAAAAATGTAGCTCTCCGCCGGTATTATATCGTTCGCGTACGTGTTCCAAGGCACGGGAGCAAACACGATGCTCTTCCACTTATCCAGCGCGGACTTGATACAGCTTGGCAGGGACGAAACCAGCGACGATTCCGTGCCCCAATTTGCGCCCGCCATCGACAGGATGTTATCCAGAATCAGATAGTCCCGTATGCCGTATTTTCCATCTTCTTCGGTAGACTCAAACGTGTGATACAATATGTTGGATCGGCACGACAACAGAATCGCATCTGTCAGTGACAAGATGTGTGGCAGAATTTCGATTATCATTTTAGTCCTGTTATTCGAAGGCGCGGGATCTGTGTTCTGCGTGCTCTTGGAAGTTTCGATGTTCTCGGTGGGATTCTTCGATATGCTCTCATCCATGAGGACTTGTAATTTTCCCACAACTGCGGCTAGTATACATAAAGAACCAAGCTTTGGCAACGACGTTTTTAGCATTATCTCGTCGGTAACGTTGTACTCGGGTTTGAGCGAAACAATACAATTCTTTGCAAGAGTGACGTCGTATTTTAGAGAGTTCACGGTAGACGATACAGTCTTCAACAAATTTTCGGCGTATTGCGTGTACATTCCCTGCTTCACTAAACAATCCTTCATCCAGCCGGTGAAAGTTTTATACGCAGCTCTCGGTCCCCATATCAACGAATGCAGCAGCATAGGTCCAGCCGGTATCTCCTCGCCAAGAGCGAGCTTATTCATATACGGAGTCGAGGGGGGTAACATCAGCAACAACTCCCAACATATAGAGAAACAGTACTGAATTGCGCACAGTCCAGTGAAGGTAATCTTTTCCTTATTGTCAGCACCATTTTTTCTGTGCATATCAGTTTGATTGAGCACGTTTAGGATGTCAATCAGTGCGTCAACCAAGAGAGGATATTTCATTTTATCTGGCGTGCCCAAAATAAAGTTGCAGGCCTGTAGAACGTAACAAGTATGTTTTGTATTACGTGCTCTTCAAAAGATTGTTGTAGATAAAAAATAAACTCTTCAAGAAAAAGTTTTTCTATCTGTATAATATTAGATTTTTTATCATTAACAGTGCAATTTTCACTATATTTTCATTATATTTTCTGCGTAATTATGGATTTGTGTACGATACGTACCAATCCATCCAATTTCGGGGCGTCCTGATTATTAAAGTCTGTTCTCGATAAACTATAAAAACGTGGTTTCATTGAAAATTCATCCTGTGAACCATATTTACGATAATTATCTTCTATCTCTACCCATGGAGTAAAAGCCCTAGCAGTCTGTTTATTTCCGTCTTTTGTATCACATATTAAGCTTGTAGCGGAGAACAGATTCCACTCTACCTGTATAAATAGAGAGAACATGTATGTATAAACGTAATTACTACTGTTTTAATAATTGAAATAATGTAATACAATATTTTTAATATTGTAATAAATGTACAAGACGTTTACTACCACTCAGTTGACACTTTCATACTGGTGGCCCTGGTATCTTGCTATCTCAGTCATGCTGCTGAGAATTAATTTTACTTTAGCATTTAATAGATTGATGTCGATAAAAAATATTGCAGATAATAAATTAATAAAGTAAATGAGTTAAAATATTATATAATAATATTTTAACCTTCTACTATTTATTAATTTACATCGCAATACAAAATTACGACAATTAAAGATCTATAAAATGCATCTTAAAATTCATATTATATATAAATATACTGCGATATAAAAATACATAGCAAATGTGAATGTCTTACATGTTCAAGCAGTAACCGATGTGCGTCATATAGATGTTTCATCATATATTCGAGTAATAGTAACAATCGGGATAAATGCAACAGTTGAGAATCTTTCATGGGCGTTTTAACCGCTTCGCTGCAGCGCACTGCACCACTTCCTGTTACGAGTAATACAGACTTCTTCTGCATTAAATTTAAAGAATGAAATAAGAAAAGCACCAACTGCGCATGTTCTACGTTTAAATCTGCAAATGTAATTAGTAATTGATTATAATTAATTCATGTTCAAATAATATATATATTACATATATTTCAGAATTTAAGTGTATTAACAATTGTATATATCGATAAGTAAACAAATACAAACGGCAATAAACAAAAAAAAATTGCATATGTCGATAATTAACTGATAAATTTGCTGTACTCTACCTTCATTCTCCGCTTCATACGTTGTTTGAGGATTGCATACATTCTCAACCATAGTTGTTACCAAACGATGCCATATGCTTATACACGCAGCTTCTCTTTCTGGCTGAGGTTTCAGTTGCAACACCTAATTACAAAAAAATGTAATATATATTAATTATCTTGAAGATTGAAGATAAACTATCTTATAAAATTAATTTTTACACAATTACAATGCTATTAAAAAACCATAACGCACCTGTGCCAATACCCTGAGAGTTCGTGGATAAACTTGAAGAGGCCAAGTAGTTGAGCTGTTGCTTTCTGTGGACCAAGGACTCACTCCCAAATGTTGAAGCAAGGTATTTTGAAGAGATTCGCTTAGCGTATTCCACGCAAGCAAGTTGTGAGTATAACGACTTAGAGCTTGAGAAAATTCCGAATACATAGTACCCAGCGTAGCGCCGTAAAATGCGGAAATTGTGCCTAGAAGTGCAATTTTTCATAATATATTTTAATGCCAGCAAGACAAAATGTAATAAGCAAGAGAGGCATAAATTTTACATAAAATGCACAGTAATTACTTGAACTTACCTGTTTCTGTTCTAGCTGTTTCATGATCTAGATCTCTTATAATCGCTGCTAATATAATCATTTGTTGCTCGACCAAACCATTAACCACATATTCTCGAACATACGTACTCCTACTGCCAATTAAGTGCTTATTCATAAATTGGAATATTTTTGTTGCAAGCGAAATGTACTGTAAAGGAAAAAATCAATAATTAGCTTCTTCGAAATAATTTACGAGTTATGAATAAAGAAATAATTATATTTAAAAATATACTCCGTGAGGCTCCCGATTGTCTGGAACAATAGTGGTCGTGGCTGTACGTTCCGCACTTGCTTCATTATTCGTTTCTTTATTGGTATTTGTGGAAGTCTCATCTGATGGAGCAAGAGTTTCTTCAAACCATAATCCCAAAATGGGTTCGCTGTCCTCCTCTATCGACATAACAGTTTGTTCTATATATACAACGAATATACAGCGGTAAGTTAATATAGTTATCAGTATGTAAAAATCATTATGCAAGCACATTGAAGCTGCATCCAACTGTGCGCATGTAGCATATCACTATATATTTATATAAAATGCTTCAAAATTAATTCTCACGTGTCACGTATGGCAATGCACTACGATATTATATTACTTACTCCATTTTTTAAGCATTTTATAAAACTTTGAATGATGAAATAGCACCTATACATTTTTGCATTCTCACTACTAGCAGCATAATTAAATAAATTTTTAGCGGAAAAAAATCCATTTGCAACATTCCAACTACATTTTTCATAGCCAACTTGTTGAGTACTAAAAATGCATATAGAGACAATATATTGAAAGAATACGCAATATTACCCTCATCAGTGGAATTCTCCGAACAACTCAAAAGATCTTCATAATATGTAGTAGAATCCGATTGACTTAACGCATCTCCTTCTAAAGGATGCTTTTGTACTCTTTTCAGTGTACAAGCCTGTTAACAAATAAAATGTATATGATTAATAAAATATGATTATCTATATCTTAAAACTAATATCGTAGTGCATGTAAAATAATGCAGTACCTTTCTGTAACTAATAGTAGCTAGATAAAACAACAAATGATTTAAGGGCACTGCTTGTAGGAACGTTACTGCTCTTTGCAGCGCTGTAGCAGTGGACAAGATGTCCAATGGCGCTGGTTCAGGAACTGCCACAACTAAATCGGTATTGGCTTCGATAGATACATCTTCGAGAAGCGCGCTCATCAAATTCAGTGCATGTGAAGCCAATGCCACTGACAATACACCAAATCCTTGTTGCCTAATTATATAAAAATATTTTTAATTTTTAAGTTAAATGTAAGATATTTTTAAATAAAATATAATTTTCTTAGGCAGTGAAAAGCCTAACAATAATAAAAGAAAATATAAGATAATATTAGAGAAAATTTCTGTAATCAAATCTTCAATTTAAAATAAAATATGAATACTGTATATAAAATATTTAATAATTACACTTTCATAAGATTCACACGTCCACTTCCATCACGAGCTTTGCTTGGTGACTTTCCTTTTTCTTCTTTTCCTTTATCTGCAGCACTGAAACTGCTCACAGTTAATTGCGCTTGCAATCCAGCGACTAGAAGCCATACTCCAATAAGTAAATGATTTTGCAGAATCTGAAATCAAGAAAACAGAGAATGTAATTATATAAAGATATAAGAACAAGATTTAAAAAATATTATAAACTAAAATAATATCATAAAGCTGATAAAATTGTGCAATATAAAGAAAGAATAAACAAGTTACTTACATGTCCTCCTGCGCGTGTGCTATTTTTGATAACATTCGATACTTGTCCGAATATTTCTAAACTCTTTTCCACAACTGCAATTGCTAAAGTATCATATTCTTCGTCGGTGGTTTTTGCATTCTGATTCGTTTGACTACTTGTTGTAGTATTTGTACTACATTTTGGTGAAACAGCATTTGTTATGCCAACTATACTTGATGCTGCTGCATTTGCAATTGAACAGTACAGACAAGACATAGTCAGCAGTGACAATTTTTCCAATTTCTCTGGTGTCAAAGGTTCAAGTATCGGAAGAGATATCACATTATGTACAATATTAATGTCACTAACAACAGAATGTAAACTGTGTCTTATTGTATGCGCTTCCGATGCATTTGCTGGCATGCTAAATCCTTTTTTGGATAAAAATACTTGGTATTTTCGCGTATAGCGTGACAAATGTGGAAGATTCAAACACATATCCAGTAAAATGTCACCTGCTCCCATATTCTGCAATGTGCTTATATTGTTTGCAACAAACATCATCTGCAATATAATAGATTTTTCAGTTTTGCTGATTTATTTGGCTTGAAGAGAGATACTTTAATTTGATTAATAATATTATAATTATATATGTAATAAGAAGATAATTTATAACAGAAAATATAATAGCAAGACACTTTACTTTGTTGGACACAAAAAATAAATATTTTATACACACAAACCTTAGAATCAGAATGTGTCTCGCCTGTAGAAGCATTTGTATTTTTGCTTCCCCCATCAATTGAACTTTCATTCGCAAGAATTGAGGATGATGAAAAGTCTTGCAATGGCATTGTCAATTGTTCAAGAATACTGGTGGATAAATCACAACGAGACCGCATAGATTCTTTTGCGGTCGGTTGAGAAGAAGGTTCCTTTTCTTTTCCACCCGATAAAACGGTTACATAAGGTGGTACTTTGGAATTATTTATTGTGGAAAGAAGAGCGACTTCCTCTGCAGATGTGAGCAAAGATTGTCCTGTGCATAATGCACGTATTGAGAGTAGTAATTGTTTTGTAGTCAAGACTGTTGACACAGTATCTCCAGGTTGTGTTTGATGTTGTGGTAGTTTGTCCACAAGATAAGCAAGCAGTACCTTGCATGCTTGACAAACAATAGGTATTTGACTTTTGACAACTGAAAAAAATGTTTTGTAAGACTTGGTGCAAAGTTGGCATATGTAAATAAGTTTATAGATAGAAAAATTCAAAGCACCTCAAAGTATTACATTATTTAAAAATTACAAGAATCATGTAAAGTAAAAAGAAAGAAAAAAATGGAGAAAGGCAACATTTATTCATGAACTTGAAGATAAAAGGTCCATCTTGTATATATATATATATATATATATACTATTTAAAGAATGTTTTGTATAGTCATCTACATACGAATGCGCGAGACTACTTACATGTATTCGCGCATCCACTAATGCAATCCGCTGACAAGGCAGCGACCGCCGTATAAAAGGTATCATATTGATCTTCGTGAGAGACGAATTTGTTTTCTCTGCAAGACAAGAAAAAAGAGGTGTATAATCAAATGTAATAAAATCAGAGAAATTCGATTCGCGTGATGAGAGGCATCCATTTCTATTCTGTCATCGGCAGCAACGTATTTTACATCATCAAGGAAAAGGTGATTTAACGAAAGTGTCCTATCGCGACAAGTCGCACTTACCTTTTAACAATGCTCTTAACGAGATCAATAACGTCATTTTTATTAAACGAGCGTGGCGATGTTGCTAATATTGGTTTCATAACTGAAGGCCACTCATCGTGACCACCACTCTTCGCCGCCATTTTCGATACTGAAGCAGAAACGCCAGATTTGAGACGCGAGCAGCATGAGGGAAGAAATACTGCACACATGCGCAAATCATGACATGTAAGCTCTGCGCTTCGGTCACTAGAAAAGAGACGTATTACTTCATCTCTTTTCTTACCGAATCGACGAAGGCAACATTATCACATCGCTCGCTTGGATGTATATACATTATTCATATATTATATATATAATAGATATAAGGACATCTAAAAACGATCTAAAAAAGACATCTTAAGAACGTCCTAAAAACGTCCTAAAAAGACATTTTTTAATTTTTCTAACGATTGGCATTCTAAATTTTGCAACAAAAAACTTTCTAAAAATTTTAAAAGAGACGTTTTAATTATTTAAGTATTTTACGAGCATCAGAACACTGATAAAAAGTAGCCCAGAAACATGTAGAAAAATTAAGATTACCTGCTGGAACCGCCATTTTATCTGGGATTTTAATAGAATGTTAATAGGAGCACATGATAATATAAGAGCTCACTCATAATTAGTGCAGTACACTTACCATCTTGTATAGTTGTATGTTGTTTCAGCTGACCAAAAGATGGCACTGTTTCGAGTGAGCGCCTATGCCATCATGTGTTCCTGTTACAAATGCTCAAAATCCCGGCTAGAATGGTTCTTTCTGGTTCAGCTGTACTTTCTGTACTTTTTTTTTATCTTTTTTCCTCCAACACAAAATCGTATGCCCATTTCATTTCAAGTGCAAGAGTTGTAATACGATGCGAGATAGAAACATACCGAATGACACCCTCCATCTCTATCTTTCGATAAGAGCTTGCAACAGCTGATATCGGTCGTCACCGATTTATACTTACTCACTGGATGTTAGTATAATGTAAAGCTTGTTTGTTCAATCATGTCATCGTGTAAATTTACTGCTATATTTTTAAAGAAGTGTTTACTGCAGAAAACGTTATTGCAGATAACATGACAAAAGAATGATAGTCGCGCCGCTAAAGAAAATTTTGTAGAAGAGTTCTCGTAGGTTATGTAAACGCCTTCATTTGCTGAGCCTCGTACACTAAAATGGATAAACACATGCATCTATGGAGAGGCGCCGACAAATTGTCTTTCACATTCGGTGACAAGCCGAACGGCATTATCTCCAAACTGGTCACCATCAAAGATCGCATTTTTGTAGCGACCACATCCAACAATTTGTACCATGGAGAAGTGTCATTGCAGGAGAACACCTGTCCTAAGCTCGTTCTCAAAAGGGCTCAATTCGATGTTATCGATGTAGCCGCTAATTCTGAACACTTGTTTATTGTAAATACTAAGGGACATGTTTTGAAAGTAAATCCTCAGGACATGGGTGTTATAGATACAATCGTTCTTAAAGAGGAAGTAAAATATTGCAGTCATGGGTAAATATATTAAAACATGTCTTGCATTCAAAAATTAGACAGACTTTCTCTTACATGTTGTATATAGTTTTTATTTTATGATCTAATTTGCTCTTCTCACATATTACAAGCATTTTTGTTAACAGATGAATAAATATATAGAATTTATCAAGTCAGTTTCATCATATGTCTTCAATTATTACTACTAAAGACAAATTATAATTTTTTTGCAGATATAAGGAAGAAAATGAAGTAGTGAAGATCAAATCCATAGCAGTTAGCGATCATTCAGCACTATTTGTTACGGAAAATGGACAGCTATGGGCTAGCGGTAATCAACCACAAATAGATATAAGTAGTACAGAACCAAAGAAAGTTAGATTTTTTGATGGACGGACAGTATCTGAGGTTGCCTGTGGTTCCAATTTTAATGTAGTTACTGTGAGGAAAGCCGCCAAATCCATAAAAGATGATACAGATAGTGAAAATGAGTTAGAGGAAGAAGTCTTTATTAATTCTTGTCCACAATGTTTGAACAATGTTATGTTGAGTCCTGGAAGTGTAACATCATCAGATACATGTCTTACTGGTCTTCATGCACAGCAGTTTAGTGATCGTTCTACAAATTCTATCAGTGCTTTGTCTACTGCCAGTAAAGAGCATATTCTTTTGCCAGAAATGGACAAGAAAGAACATCCTTCTGATATTGTTGAAAACGGTGGGGAATGTGTGAACAATTTAACAGATTCCGAAAAAGATGAGAAAAAGAATGTTATATTTATAAACACGGAAACCGCTCGACAATTTCTAACCAGACAACTGTCTTGGGTTTCATCTTACGGAAGTGCCAAAGAAGACATACCTATGGAGAGTGTTGATCGGTCAACAAGATTGATAAAGCAAAATGTATCAAATATGGCTAATTTAGTGTACGAAGGCGTTAAGAATGTAGGAGGCAAAGTTGTAACTCTGTCTAGACATATGAGTGGAAGTTCAGATATTAATGAATCTAAAGCTGATAGCAATGAAAACTTAGAAGAACAAGGAGACAGTTATACAAAAGGAACTGCGACTAGTTTGGCATTAAGTTTACGCTGTGAAGAGTTCCCTTGGTCTTCGAGTACCGGTTCCTCTGAACATGAATTATCCCAACAAGGTTTGAATGAAAGAATTAATACGTTATCTCGCACTGGAAGCAACATATTAGCGACAGAACTTTGGACATGGGGTGATGTACAGTATGGACAACTGGGAACGGGAGATATCATCAAACGACCAAGGCCAGTGTTAGTAGCAAAGCTTAGCCATACTGGGATCAGAAAGATATCTTGCGGTGTCTTCCATGTGCTTGCTTTAACACTGGACGGTAGAGTGTTTGCGTGGGGTCGTAATAATTTTAAACAGGTCACTTTGCACAGTACAATAGATCAAAGCGCTCCTCAGCTATTCACCACAAAATTATCTTCCAATGAAAGAGCTATCGATATGGCAGCTGGTAATTTCCACAGCTTAGTAATGATGCATCATGGTTTATATTTTATGGGACAATCGAGGTAAATAATTCAAGTAAAAATCTCTTTTCTTGAAAAGAATAATTTTATTTCTGTTTACTGATGAATGCATTATAATTTTAGTAAAGTTGGCGATATGTTTCAACTTGATATACAAACCAAGGAATCGAGTAGTCCGAGAGAGATTTTCAGTTCTGGGCAATACAGTTGTTGTTCTGTGATAAATGAGCCAGCAATAAATATGTCGGAGGATTTAATAAACGATCAAATCTTCCTTGAAGAAATGTTGATTGTTTATCAAAATCTAATCAAGCCGTTTCAGAAGAAAAGTGGTGCAACCCAAGAAGCTAATGCGTATGAAACACTGTGTCGCTGCTACGCGGAGCTGATGCACTTTAGTGTCTTAAATGTCATAAGTTTGTGGGATTATTTTAATCATATTGGAGAAGCATATGAAGTTGCAATTGTTGCCAATATAGAAGAATTTACTACTGTGTATAAATACTATTTAAATGCTATTTGCGATGTTATATCTCTCGGTGGTTTTATGCATATTGCAAAACTCATTGAAGTGCCACAAATAGTATCGAACTTATTTATGGATAGTTTAAAAGGTAGCGATGTAAAAAAGAATAACAATGAAATAGTTGTAACAACTGCATTACAGCATCCTTTATGTAAGCTAAACAGGTAATTTGCCGCACGTAGCATACATTTCAACAAAGATTTATTTTATTTATTTATAATCTATTTAAATAATATATACGTGTTATTGCAGATATAAAAATATGATTCATAGTTTAATAAAAAGCAATGGAACAAGAATGGGTGTTGAACGATTACAAGAAGCTCTTATAAAATGGGAGCAAGTACACGATGAGCAAGAAAAACGTCAAAAAGAGGCGGAAGCTACAAAATTGTTTTGGGAAAGTTCCGGCAAACTAGGAGACATATTGAGATCTCCTGATAGAAGGCTTATTAGAGAATCAAGAACGTACCCACTATCGATACTCAATTCTGGTAGATTTTCATCTCATTGGTTTATTTTATTGACGGATATTTTCATACATGTTACTGGCGCCACACATACAGTTCATCCACTTCGAACATTATGGGTAGAACCTCTGCCAGACTCGGAAAATGTACAGGTACAAAATTATATTTATATCTTCATCTATTTCATTGTATTTTATTTCTAACGAGAATTGATATAGTAGCTAATAGAATTAAAAATAGATTTATTTAACTTTTAGAATGCTATATCAATTGTTGCACCAGAAGACAATTTTGTTTTGTACACACCTACACCTAGTGAACGAAATGAGTGGTTACATGCTCTGCAAAATACTATCAAGAATAGTTTGCAAAGAGTGATAGGAAATGTACCTCCATTAGCACGCTCAAGCTCGTTCTCATTCACGAAACATGCTGTTTTTAAGGATGCAAAGTACACTGGTTGGTAAAATGATAGTAAAATATATTTCACATTAAGAAGCGTTATGTATAGAAAAAATATTTACAATAAATCGTAAATTTGCAGGACGATGGCTAAATGGTAAACCACATGGTTCTGGAAATTAGAGTGGTCAGACGGTCGTACATATGTAGGCCAATTTCATAAGGGTGTTATTCACGGCACTGGAAAAATGGAAATTCCAATGCAGGGTGTGTATGAAGGCCAGTGGAAGGACGGTCAGCAAAATGGATGTGGAACGATGAAGTGAGATTCAATTTTTGAACATGTCCTAAAGATTAAGTGTTTTATAAAACGAAACTTTTATATTTTTGCCGTATTTTTAATACTTATAAATACACAAAAATATTTTAGATACGTCAATGGAGATTTTTACGAAGGATACTTTAAGGATGGATTGCCTCATGGGCATGGCGTCAAGAAAGAAGGTCACTTTATGGCATCAGTTGCATCTGTTTATATTGGAGAATGGGCTGCCGGTGTTAAACAAGGTTACGGAATAATGGATGATATCATGACAGGTATAAATAATTAGCTTAAAAGCAAATTACCGCATGATAATTTGATATAAACTTTTCGATAGAATGATCACAATAAAACAAAGTTACATTTTTATAATTTAATATCACAGGTGAAAAATATCTCGGATCGTGGAGTAATGGTATGAAGCATGGAAATGGTTTGATTGTCACACTTGACGGTATTTATTATGAAGGTGCCTTTACACAAGACATCCTAACGGTAACTATACGTTTTAATATTTTCTTAATATAAGAGATATTTTAAAAGAAATATAAATCATCGAAATAGTAATTGTTTTACGTTAATTTGTGTAATACATATAGTCTGCCTTATTTATTCAAGTATGAAAGAATAGAAACAATATTTTATCATTTGTCCATTAAAGGGTCACGGAGTAATGGTATTTGAGGACGGCACGCATTACGAAGGTGAATTCAAATCTGCAGGAATATTTTGTGGAAAAGGTACATTAACATTTCGAAGTGGCGACAGGCTAGAAGGCAATATGAACGGTGCATGGAACGAAGGCGTCAAAGTTATTGCCACATTGCATATGAATAAAGCCAGTGGAACTGTACAATCTATTTCAAAACCAGCGTAAATATTTCTTCACATTATTACAATATTAAATATTACTAATATTAAATAGTAAATTAATTATTAAGAGTTTATTATTATAGCCTTTTGTATCATTTGAACTAACGATTTTTATTAGATCTTTCGGAAAACTCTGTGTACCTCCCGATCAAAAATGGAAAGCCATATTCAAACAATGTTATCAACAACTTGGTGTGTCCGAATCGGTTACTAAAAGTTCCAGTGAAAAATCTACAGAAACACAAAGAGTGTGGCAAAATGTTGCTAGTATAATAACAAAATCCCATCAGAAGACATTGCAACGAAAAAAGCTTTCTACTAAGGCCTCAAATGCAAAAGAGAAAAATAATGAAACAATCGATCAGTTGGACAAGATTCCATGCTTTGGACGAGATAAACTCACCAGTCAAACTTATAACGAAATTCATAAGTATCTAGTGAAAGCTTTTGAAAGTCCACATCATCCATTAGGCACTCTTTTGACAGAAGTAGCTGCAGTATACACAGCTACGTACGGTGGAGTGAGAGTACATCCCCTATTACTTAGCCATGCAGTATCAGAGCTTCACAGTATTACTACAAGGATATATGAGATTGTTCTTCTTTTATTCCCGGCTCTACCACGTTGCGGCAAAGAATGTGTCCTTGAAACTGATGATAAAGAAGAAGAGTACGTATTGCAAAAGTTATAAAGACATCAAAACTGATATAATTAGCAATATTGCGCATCCAATTCTTTCTATCGATTTCTTCATAATAATTTCAGTGATAATAATAATAATAATAATAATAAACGATCCTATTATATTGCGTAATACATTACAAAGCAATCGTAGATTCTATTTATATAATTTTCGATATTAGTAAATTGCTAATGGCGCTTCAATTGGCTTCAATTGGCTGAAATCACGATAAAATTAGTTAATGAGTATATACTAATTTATTTTATTATAAATCACGTAAAAATATTTATTTTTAGACAAGTCATAAGTGCTGCCGCAATTCTTCATCCGATATTACTGCCACGTGTACATTCCGCACTTTTTGTATTATATGCCTTACATAATAAAAAAGAAGATGATGCATATTGGGAAAGATTAATGAAATGGAATAAGCAGCCTGACATAACTTTGATGGCCTTCCTTGAAATTGATCAGTAAGTAATAGATTTGTAATTAGTAGAATACATAAGTTATCATTTGGAGATTTGATTATAATGTTACAATAATTTGTATTTAATGCATTTGCACTCTTAACAAATTGTAGGAAATTCTGGAAAACTACAAACATAATAAATATCACAGATAACTCATTATCGTATCAACATGAACCTTACTTTAGCAATGCTATAGAAACTTTGCAGCAACTTAAAACAACTTTTTCACCTTTAGAAAAATTGTTGGTGGTTAGAAACACATTTGATCAAATGACACAAGTAAGGATATGTTAGCAACATTATTGATATTTCTATCTATAATAAATATATTGAAACAGATCATTTATATTTTCTCATTTTTGCACATGTTTATCAACAGGTAGTACAAAAACAACTAGGCTCTACATATTTATGGACGATGGACGAATTGTTTCCAGTGTTTAGTTTTGTTGTAGTGCGTGCTAGTGTGTTACAATTAGGGAGTGAAATACATTTTATTGAAGATTTCATGGAGTCGTATTTGCAAAATGGAGAGCTTGGTATTATGTTTACTACTCTTAAGGTCAGATATGATTATAAAAAATAAAACTTATAAAATTAAAACACAGAAAACAAAAACTAAGTAATAAACAAAATTAATTTTATTACAGGCATGTTACTACCAGATATTACAAGAAAAAACAAACATGGGCGATTGAAATCACAGATATATCTCAACAAATATATAGTACAATGAAATGATAAATATATATGGATAAATATATATATATATATACGTTTAAATAACATCAAACTCATAAAAGACATCAGGATAAAAATAAATGCATGACAAAAAGGTATTATGTATTACAATAGACGAAAGTGATAAATTGCATTTATGATACATAACGTAGTCCTTAGCATCTTGATTATACAAAGCTGAAATATGAAATGAAATAAAAAATGGTATAACATAGTTCATTAAAAGTTTGTCAATGTAAAGAATATAAGTTTCTTCTTGAACGATATTTATCATTAGCAAATTTAATGTTTTGAAACTAAACATTTGCGCGTATGACACATGTAAAATATGAATTTCGATTATCTGTTGTCCAAGAATACTGCACATTTAAAAACCATATAAAGTGCATAGCTCAATATTGTGATAAAAAAGTTAAACGTTACCTTTTTCACATACCTGAATTAGAGATTAGCCATTAAAAAAGCAATTATTAATATTATTATTGTTATTAATCTTTTTATAATATTATGCGCTTTTATTATGTTAAATCTTATAGAAAAAATTATACAATATAATTTATTTTTTTAGTACTGATGGTAAAAGTTATAAATTTAAATAAATTTTGATGGTAGATCATGTCACACATTAACAAAATTACATTGGCAATCTATTCTGTTAAAAAGTAAAATACAAATAAAAAGCAAATTGTAAATTGAATTGTATTAGAATGTCGAATCATAAAAATGTTTGAAAAGCTTTTTATATAAGATTTAAACATGATTGTTATGCATAATTTATTTATAATTTTTATATATATATATTATTTTTAATTCCTTTTCATATAAGTTTTTAAGATTTATTTATTAATCATAATTTCAAACATATGTGTTATGATTAAATATAGAAATATGTTATATTTATTGTAAATGAGCACAATAAGAAAGAAAATTTGCTCCTTATTAAATAAGTGAACAAATTTTGTTTTTATTGTTGTTCATATAAAGAATATATGCATCTCGAAATATCAGAAATATATGCCAGATATTTGTTTGCTGACAAGTATCAACATGTGCATTTCATTGAAATATATGTATCTATAATACGTATTATAAGAGATAAGATAATATATACACATATGAATCAATTGATGTTAAAAAGTTAAATTGTAAGTTACGTAAAATTTACAGTAATACTAAATTTGTTTTATGTTATCTTAAATTGTTTCAAAACACATAAGTATTATTGCATAATTGTATGATAAAAAATTGAAATTTGGGTTTTGGTATTACTACTTAATATTATTGAAGAATACGCTATATATTTCTCCTTGTATATCTGCACTTTCATCATAGTTTTAATCCAGTTATATACATGTGATATTATTTCAAACGATATTTCTAACAACTAGCATGTACCTGAAACATATTCTTTATATTAATTCGGAAGGGTTCGCTCGTAATATTCATATTCATATTAAGCTCGCATAATTTATCTATTTTTTCAAAGAATCCATTCTTTTATTTTATTTTATAAGTAATTATAAAATGTTTTATTAAGATTTTAATATATAAAAACTCTTATCTATTTCTACAATTATGAACCCTACTGAATTAATATATTATGAATGTACAATAATTGTGTACCATATGCTACACAAATTTTATGGTATATTTAGTATCGCAAGCAAAACTGAGAAATCAAATTATTAGCATCAAATAATAGATCATCCAAATATTGCATCTTATATGTCTGCAGAACAATTAAAATATTTTGGATTGAAGTTGACTGTATTAGTTATAATTTTCAGAAAAGATTTATTTTTCTTGTATGACATATTAAAAATTCTATATATCCAGAAGTTGTACTACATGAAGTAGTTATTTATGTACTAGGAAAGATGTGTATGTAATGAAATTAATATGCCATATTAAAATTACGTGTAGCAAGTAAGATTAATGATCGAATATTGCAGATATGCTTATACTTTCTATTGTAAGGGAAGAAGGATAAAAAGAGTGACTAGTTCCAATTGTAAAATTTGCAATACAAATGCACAATATTATTAAAAATCCATTAAGAGAAAGCTTGTAACAGAATGATATGAAATTGTTTTCATAAAACACGTCGTAATTTTTAAGTGGCGTATTATGTACGAAGTTAAAATTACTTAGTTATTGCACTATTTATATAAAGAATAAAATCATGCGGATATAAAATAACAAAAACCTATATGTATTATTAATACATGTGCGTATATAAATCTATATAATTATATGACACAGTTAAAATTAAATTTACTTTTCATAGGTTTTTTGTAATACAAATTCTTTAACTGATAGTGTTTTATATATTATAGAATTTTAAATAATTAAAATAATATTTTATTATTTACAATGTAAACAAGAATTGTTATAATTCTTGATATATAATTGACAAATTGTATTGATATTACCAATTGTTTATTTATAATTATTATGAACAAATAAAAAAGATAAAGATAAATGGGAGCAGTACAATAAAAATAATTTACATATTTGCAAACATAAATGTAAAAAACAATGTAAAAATATATTCTGCTGTCATTAAAATGACTATATCTGGAATTCTAATTTTAAACGTGATATTCTTAATTATTTTCTTTTTTATCGATAATTTTTTCCAACTTCGACAATTTCTATTCTCCTAATTTGTTCAATAATTTTTCAATAATTACCACAAAAGTATTTAATCAACAATTCCACATTTTCCTACACCTTCTTGTTATGCACTTGAAAATGATGGACGGTCCGCTATATATTTCCGTCATTTTCAAGTGCATAAAGTGCACAAGGGTGTCCACGAAGAAAATGAGTGCTCTTACAAAAAGTTATGCAATTTTGTGATTTATAATCAAAATAAATATCGAACACAGATTTTAATTGTAAATAACAACATTTATACACCTAACAAGTTTTTTGGCACTTGAAATTTTGGAGCAGATAGAATAGTTTCACTCTGAGAATCATATTGCACAGAATATAACCTATACGTACTGTGTCAGGAATTCTATATATTAAACCATTTGTTATAATAAGGTAAGAAACTGTCTTTCGAAACGTAAATAATATTAAATAATTGTGCGTGCTTGAATTATTAAAGTAAATCTCACATATAACACTTCCAATAACATAATTTCTTTTACACAGAGATTTGTTTAATAAAAAGTCTACTTATATGCAAAAACCATGTCAAAACGTAAATTTGATGATATGGAAGGCACATCTCTTCAACAACAACCACTTAAAAATTCACTGGATTCGGATGAGGAGGACGATGAGATAAACGAAGATGCCTATAATGTGATGAATGAAGATGAATTTGAAGGTAGCTAAATTAATATATCATATTATTTAGATAAACTGATGTATTACATTCATTATTGTTATTGCATAGTTCTTATTTTACATAATATAATGATTTATTTATATCTGTCAAACAGGTACAGAAGATGGACCCTCAGCACCAGAAACAAATGTAGGATTTACAGCGTTTAATATGAAAGAAGAATTGGAAGAAGGTCACTTTGACAAAGATGGTCATTATCTTTGGAAAAAAGAGAAGCAAATAAGAGATAATTGGTTGGATAACATTGATTGGGTACAAGTTAGTAAGATAAACATAAATACAAATATAAAATTTTATCTTAAGGGAAAATAAATTAATTATATGAAGTATGTAAACCATTTATATAAAAATATGTTTCCATCTTTATAGAATTTTGTATTTTACAAAATTATGAAAATTATGTTATATTTCTAAACAATATTATTTGCCAATATATAAATCATTACCATATATACCTTTTACAGGTCAAACCTGGTTCTACAAGTAAAGAGAATGCCAAATCAAGTGAAGGCCATGGATTAGGAGATAGTGATAGTGACGATGAAGGAGATATTATGTTTGATCCCATTCCATTGTATAAACAGATTTTCGAATATCTTAAACCTGGTGAAAGTGTTTCTAAAGCACTATGCAGACTTGGTATATAAATCACTAATATAATAATTACTAATATATGCATATGCAAGCTATAAGACAAATAAATATGAATTATCCCATTCCAGGTAAAGGAAAAAAGAAATTAACCACAGCAGAAAGATGGAAAAGAAAAAAAGAAGAACCAAAAAAAGAAGAACCTAAAGAAGAAGATCCAAATTCTGCTAACATAATAAAATTAACAGAGCTAGCAAATGAATTACTAACACGTACTGGTAATATGGACATATATCAAGAAACCTATGAACACATAAAAAAGAAGGTAATAACGAATATGAAATTATATATAGGAAGTGGAGTTATAAAAAATTATATTTTGCAGATTGGACAAGGCGATAAACATGCACATCCTTCGAAACAAGAAGCAGAATTGGATATGTATGCTGATGATTTTGATGAAAAGGAAAAGGCGAAACTGGATGATACCGATAGTGGTGTGTAAATAGGATATTAATGACATATATCTTCACATTATGTCTATTTTGCATTTTTACATTATACATTATGAATTACATATACATACTCTATAGGTAAGGCAGCTGAAACAACCAGCGAAGACAAAACTGCGAGTTTAGAAGAAAGCGTAACATGGGATCTGAAATGGTCACAGAATGAAAATGCAGAAGTACACGGACCTTATAGTACTCAGCAAATGCAAGCGTGGGCAAAAGAAGGATATTTTAAAGTGGGCGCCTGGGTCAGAAGAACTGGACAACAGAATCAGTTTTATAATAGTGCTAGAGTAGATTTTGAACTCTATCTGTGACATCTCTATAGGACGCAAGGCGTGTGAATAAATAAATATGTATAAATATTGTCAGAATATTTTGTCAAACATCAAAACTTTATAGAAATAGCATTCATTTCTTGTGTAAAATTTTGCAAAGTGATATAAATAACGGAACACTTATATTTTATTGCACAATTATATATATAGATGTAGATGCACAAATGCATCTAATAGGTGGCTCAAGTTGTAAGTATTTTACGAATCTTTTAAGGAAACTCTATACCTCAGTTGTAAACAAAACATTTTTCTAATAAAATTTTGTCAAAACTTATGATATTAATTTTATTTTACATCTGGAAACGGGAACACAAAAAGAATAAAAAATATTCTCAATAAATTTGTATTATTAAAATAAAATTTAATTTCCATTTTATCGAATTTGCTAGATCAGTAAAATTATTATAAGATTAATAATATATAAATTTGATAGAATAAAAAATCTCATGTACAATTGTAAATAAATTGTGAAATGACAATTTTTTTTGTAAAATCCGGAAGGTTTAATTTTTGAAGTACGATATATGACAACAAAAAAAGTTTACTTACAATATTTATATAAAAATTCATTTCTCTACAACACGAGGTCTAAAATTTAATATTAGAAAATCATCATTTTGCTCACAAAGAACATACGAGATGTCATACAAATTTTTTCAGTACATTATAAAAGCATCTGGTGTGATACTTAAATCAAGAGAGCACTAAACTCATACTTCAGAGACTTCTCGCGCATTCCTATGGGAATGGGGACGTTAAGATTTATGGTCCGCGGAGCGTGGTATTTTTAAATGGGATTTTTATCCCTAAAATAAATCTATTTGTATCGTACGATACAACCATGCAGACTAACTTTTATTTATCTAGAAGGGCGAGAGAATTCTTCCGCTTGATTCTTATATTTATTCTACGTATCACAAATAGGAAATGCTTTTTTTGAGCAAAAAACAAAATATATCGCTGGAAATAAAAAAATATAAGAAAAAACCTCTGAAAATATTCACATTTATTTATTATAAAATAAACTCACCCTTTTGCTTATCTTGTCCATTACGCAGATCTGTACGTAGATGCAGTAGTTTCTGACATTGTAAGAAATTGTACATTCTTATAATTAAAATGAAGGAGGGAATTACATATATTTCGGTTAACACATAGATAACGGGGATTGTGCGAGAGAATTGTAAAAAGGGAGTGATTGAGAGTATACGTCTAGATGGAAGACACGCACAATATTGTATCAATATATAGTGAGTTACAAATTGAAATTATAAATTTTTGTTGTGTAAGTGTCAGTAGATAATTGGCACATTTTTACTGAATATAATTTTATTAAACGTCTTGAACATTTTTATTAGCAATGTATGAAATTTTTATATGATTACTTAAAATATTACTTTAAGTATTTCGTGTACACGCAAAAATTGTTCAGACATGAACATTTGGGAGTATATGTGTGCATGCATATATATAGATTTGTATAAATTGCATATACAAGGTGTCTTGAACTTTGCATCCACGCTCCACTCAACTCTTTGATTGATCTCAAGTCAATTTTTTTGATTAAAATTATACTAGCTATCATTCTCGTTCCTTCATTATTCGATATCAAATAACTTTAAAGTTCTTAAAACTTAAAAAAACCTAATTTAATTTTTGATTAAAATTCTACTTTAGTAACATTCGTAAAAAGGTTCTAAACTTTTTAATTTTTAATTGTCCATAACTCAGAAGCCGTTGGAGCTTGAATATTTTCGTTAAAGAAGAATCGATTTCAAGATAATCACGGAATCTCATTACGTGGAGAATGGGCGCGGATTTAGAGGCACCCTATATATACACGTACATTTTCATAAGTATAAATTCGTAGCTCATCTTGAAAGGTCAGAAATGTTTCAAGCGGAGTGTTAAACGTAGAAGCCCAAAGTATCTCTCTCTATACTAGATTATAGTAAGAAGTATGAATCGACACTTTTTCTAGCTACATGAGTCGATCATAATTGAAAGTCTAAATATGACTACATTACTAAAAGTGCGGTGAGACACATGCAATGTACACCCATTGCTTCAAACTCAATATGTGCGTTTAATATATTTATTAACAATTACATGCTTTTTGATTTATAATTAAATTGTAGAAATTGTAGAAAATATATTCCTCTTCAAATTCACGATGCGCTTAAAGAGAATCTTTCTTGAGCAAAACACTTTTTGCGAAAAATGAATAATTCATCGTTATGTATTATCAAATAATAATTAAAAAGCCAGAAACATTGAAATAAAATGAAATAGAATTTATAACTGAAATGGTAGAAAAGATATTCCTCTTCAAATTCACGATGCTTAACAAGAACCTTTCTTGAGCAAAATACTTTTTACGCAAAATAAACTATTCATCATTATGTATTATCGGATAATAATAAAAAAAAGTCAAAAGCATTGAAGTGCAATGGAATGAATAAAACAATCGCTATTATTCTAAATAAAATAATGCAAGTACACATTGGAGCTTGAATAAATTCATACTGTATGATCTATAAAAAGAAGTGGAATATCGATGAATTTGAAAGCTCGTTTTTATACGAAAGAGATGAACAAATGCAAAAGAAGAAACCAATAAAATAAAATTGACTTTGATGGAGAAAAATTTCGCGTTTACTAAAATTAATGTAAATTGTACTATTTGTAAACATTAGACGCCGTGCTGAATTGTTTTTCCCTTCATTTTTACATATTTGCAAAAAGAAAACAATTTTTGAATTTCTCTATTAATCGAGAATGCGCGTTATGTCGTTTTAATTAAAAACGCGAGTTTGGACTGACATCATGAACAAGTTAATCAACGTTCTGTCGAAAACACAAATTGCTATCGTCGAAATCCGCAACAAAAAATATGAAAGTACACGAAGCAAAGTGGTGAAGGTACATTGCATTACATTCACGCGTATTCGACGAAACAAGTACTTTGGTCTTTTCCAAGCTGAAAGGACGCAGCAGCCGGAGAACACAGGGGACTTTCGGACGAGGGCGAAAATAGGGTAAGAACGACACATACGAGCGGACAAATTACATGCCGGTTTCATAAACGCACGCAAGGAAAAAGGCAAGAGCTACTCCGTTCGGCTTATCTCCATCGTAGCGTTTAGCGTGTGCAGCGCGCCTTATGTGGTATTGCCTTAGTCTAATCTTGAACGATCTGTTCGATTGCATGCGAGTTCGAGTCGCGCCAAGTGAATATTTCGGGTGCAATTGTATATTGTTATGAAACCGGCGCCGTAGGACTACACACACACACGCACACACACGGGGAAAACAAGTAAAACGGGCACTCACATATGGACGTTTACGCATGTGTGGGAACGTGATTTATCGGCGTCGGAATGGTTCAGATACTCCTTTTATTACTTTGTAGAGGCAACTCTCCTGCAGATTTATTTCTATATAAATCAAAAGCCACATATAATAATAAAGTTATTACAACGTTAAATGCACTACGCGTGTAGTAATTTATATTCGCCAAAATACAGAAATATTGTATTAACATTTTAATAACTCCGTTACCGCCGTCCTCGATTTATGCGCGAATAAATCCGCGGAGATGCTCCCTGCGAACCAAGAGAAGTGTCCCGACCATTCTGACGATGACTATACATTCGACATTACACGGGCTGTATGTACATACAAAAATAGCCGCCGAGCAGCAGCGGCACGCCTCAAACGCATCGAAGTCCCCGAAGTGAAGTTCGTAAAAGGGACACGGGGCTGAGAGAGACGAGGAAGAGGAAGGAAAGCGAGGAAGGACGTTTGCGAGGCGGCCTCCATCCCTCTTAGGGGACGCCGGCAACCCCTCTTACAATGAAGCCTCACTCCGCCTCACTCGTCTTCCTCTCCGCTCGTTCTCCGCGAGACGACGAGATGCACATAGCATGACTAACTACCATGACTAACGAGTCGGGCCAAGTGCCACCGAGAAATCTTGGCTAACCGAGCGAGCGAGCGAGGGTAGACGCGGCGAAATATTTTCAGATCTAATATTTCGCGCGGCGCAACGGGGGTGGTCCTCTCCCACTCTTCAATCCCTCAATTCATTATCTCTGTATGCCGACTGGATGGATGCACCGTGCGCGAAAGCGCCCAGATGTAATTAAAATCGTAAATAGTGCGAGTACAATGCGGGAAGTTGTTGTTAAAGATAGCAGTTGGTCGAAGTCGCGGTTGTTGCACCAAAGTCAACGTGTTTATGTAATTATGCGTCCTTTAGATTCCTCAAATCTCACATTTCCGACGGTGTGTGTATCTTCGCCGCTACGCGCCCGGAAAGTCTAAACTTTCGTCTGAGAAAGTTGAGATTTTATCCGCGACGATTACTCAGAGGTCGTGGTTTATAATCGTGACCTATACAAGTCTCGGAAATTCTCTACGGAATTAATGTAAATGGATGGCGACGGCGAGGATCTTAGTTGTAGCCTGAACGACGTAGATGTATCTTAGGTATTTGCTTACGATTTAAGTTTAATCACGCGATTTGAATGGCAGAGAGATATGGGGGTTGAGACAGAGCGGGAGAAATGGGCGGAGATGAACGCTTAATGTCGGTGATCAAAGTTGTAAATTGGATAGGATTTAATTCCCTCCTGTACCTATGCTCCAACAAAATGACAAGCAAACAAAGAGACACCATGTATATGCTTAATTAGAATTCTAACTTTCCCGAGCATCTCTTTGAATAATTATTTGAAAGAATATCTCGTAAAAGTTACATTCTTAATTGTTAAATATACGTGCAAATTTTCACTGTTTGCGAATTCTAAAGTTTTCAAATTTAAATAAAGCTTAAAAAGGGCGTGAGAGGACGCGGATGTCTATAGATCGCACATATATCTCGACAAATACAACGCTTGAAACCGATTGTGCGCCTTACAACTCGAATAAAACAGAAAGTCGAGAATTTATCGACTTCCTTTCTCTTTCTCTCGTTCCATTCGTGTTTCTCAATGGAGCCGTTGTGAAACTCCTCGCATAATCAAAGAAGAAAAGATAGCTGCCGACTTTCAAGTTAAACTGTGACGATCGATTGCGCATTCCGCGCTGAAACTTCCAAACTTAGCGAACCGGAGATGGACGACCCGTTTCAGCGGCTGCTGAAAGCAAGAAGACTCGTGACGCAGCTTGTAGGTCAGTGGACCGTACACGGGGAGCACGTTAATAGGGGATTTTCATTCAGCGTTCCCACCGGGCTTCTCGCTTCGGGGAAAATGAATTTTTCAGGACGCCAAGCAAACTGAAGGAGGCGTATCACTTACGGAGGGCTACGTAAGAGAACGCCAGTCCGGAATGTTTCGTCTAATCGCATTAAAGCTAAACCCCTTCACCGCTCTCGTAAATATAGCCTCGTTGATTTTCCTTTCTCTCTCTCTCTCTCTCTTTTTTTTTCATTTTTTTACCTAGCTGAGTACTATCATTTTTTAAACGGCCATCCGGCCGTTCGGCGCGAATGAACGTTGATGCGAATTGATGGGAATTGCCGACTATCTGGGGAACTGTGAACGTTTCGCTGGGACGGCGGTTTCCATACATTTTTTATGAAATTATCCGCATATCGAACGACGACGCGAAACGAGAATTCTACATCTCGTTAGATGAACGTAATTGCGGTTCTTAAAGAAATTAACTCTCTAATTTTACACGTGTAAAACTTTCATCGCACATAATGAATATGTTCTCTTAATATTACAGCTGATAATATAATGTTACATCGATCTCCGTATTATCTCAACAGAATTGAAATCAACTTCGATCTCATTAATGTTTCATTATTAGATTGGCACGTGTATAAGCGAATTTCTTCGTTATGAATAATAATCGCTGACTTGCTATTAAAAAATTGACTGAAATAACATATATCTGACGTGGAAAATTCGAAAGAATACGAAATAGCTTTTTCTACTAGACACAGTTCGAAGTTGATCATTCTACGCTTCAAGCTCTCGTTTACTCAAGCAAACGCTGGCAAATTAAAAAAAAAAGAACGCCCTTAATCTCTCCCCCGATTTAAATTCTATCGTTTTGAAGTTCGAGCTGCGACCTGTAGTAGGAAAATGCGATTCAGTAACGAGACTTAATCTCCGGGTGTTGCAAACTACGACCCGAGAAGTTGCCTTACAAGCGGATCCAATTAGGAAGTTTTGCATATTCTGTTAGGTTTTCGTGGACGCGATGCGTTTCGAGGCGTGCGCTAAAAAACATACAAATAGGTTCTCAGGATCGTAATCGCGGATTCGCGTAACGACTTCCCGTCGTCGTGACTGCGGAGGATGCATGCATCGGTGCACGAATTTTTGCCGGTGTGCGAGAATCATTACGGCGAATCGCGAATACGAATCTGTTCGGTGATTCCCATAACGGAAACGTACGCACTTTATTCATACTGCATTAAGTATATTTTCGTATTCAAAACGTAACATCTTTCCAAACTTAACATCATTAAATTAATAAATAAATATATATTTATATTTTTGTATGTATTCGCTTATGCTTTGTATAAATGTGTCCTTTGTAGTCTCTAAATATATTCGGTGTAATGTGCTTACAGAGTAAAGGTCGTAACTATTATTGCTTCAATTTACAACACTTCGTACGTACGAGGGATCCTCCCTCGGTCGGTCGCAAAAGAGGGAAAAAATCGGATTCGCGACCTATAACGTAATTTGCTCCCTTAAGCGTGTTTTGTGTGGAGGAACGTGTTAACGCAATTTTCAACAAACAACTCATGGCTCTTTTATTAATAGAGCTCTTATTGCAAATTTTCAATATTCGAGTATTCGGTTATTCTTTCGTTTTAGATCGGGATAATAAAAAGTCAGATTATTTGGCATTTATCTTTCCTGAATTATTACAAATATGAATCACTGTTCGGAGCAGCTTTCGCGATCCAACAAATCATATATTTATATAGTTTGTTATTTATAATGTAAATTATCATTAATTTGTGTAAAAATATTCACATATTTAGACTAGAAAATTAGGATCTAAATTTCGAAAAATACTCACGGATGGATTTCGAAATAAAGTTCGAATTTCAATGAACAGCTATGCTCTCGAATACTCGGATATAGTAAGAGCCCCATTGATTAATCCTACAGCGGTTGACGTAGCCGACAATAGTTTAGTTGCAAACCTCGCGCCGGAGGCTCCTCAGCCTGGAACGGACTTTACGAAGAGTATTAATCTCTAGGTAGCTAGTAATCTCTAGAAGGACCTTTAATCGACTAACGCGACGCAGCTTTGATTTGATTTGTCACTACGTTTTCAAACGAATCCGACAAAATGAACGCTCGTCTGGCAAAACCGGGCCACTGCATTCGCACTGAGCCGGCGGATTTCAACTTGCAATCCTCGAAAATAAATACGGGTCCCAGTTTCTCTCACTCTCTTCACGACCCGGCCAGTGGTATAACGTACTCTTACGCTCCCGCACAATTTACATTCCGAGTCAGATTGTGTTCCCTCAGTGAGAATGCATCCTGGCTCTTTCTCTCTCTCTCTTTCTCTCTCTCTCTTTCTCTCACTTCCCTTTCTCTCCCTCTCTTTCTCACTCTCTAGCAGCGACGCAACTATCTCGGAAGACATTTCATTTTCACTCGTCCACGGTTGCTTCTGTTTGTCCTGGGGGGATAATTTCAGCGTGTCGCGTCACGAGGCGCGCTGTAACCTGCCGGTTTCTTACGAGCAAAACACTGCGCATTCGTTTTCGCTCGAGCAACAGAATTTCGGATAATCCGCTTTCCCGACGACGATGTTATCGACCATTTTCCCGCGCCAAATAGAAAGTTACGTCTACCCACATCGACGCGGCTCTTACGTCTTACGTCTTACATCTTACCGTGGTGCGCAAAACCGTACCGTTCGAAACGCGATGAACATCGCTCTTCTCCTCTCCTTCCCGTTCCTTCCCGTATCCATCGGATAAACATTACTATTGCTCAAACGTTTAGCACTTTAGTCGCGCGTGCACCCGTAGTCCTCCGTTGGTCCTCGTATGCGATGAGACGTAGCGCGCCCGATGATAGCGGCGGTGCCGGAACGACAATTCCGAGGGCAATTTCGTACAATTGCGTAAATTTCAACGGTCGAGAGCGGCAATTGAAGCTCTCTCGGTGCGGTGTAAATTTTTCCCTCTCGTCTCCGGCCATAATGCGCACCCTGGTCGATCCCCTTATCATATATACGTAGCGCAACGAGTATCTCGAGTATCAAGACACCGAGCGTCGAGGCAATAATCCCGAGACCTTTCGGACAATTAAGAGCCCGTGATACGGAGCGTTAGCGGCGTATTCGGTTCGCCTAACGACTAGACTGTCCCCGGATTCGCCTTGGACTCCCGCTGATCACCGCTACAGCTGGACCCACGACGCGTTACGATCCCCCTCACACAAAGACGACGTGCGGTTTCTCGGAGAGCGGCGGCGGGGGCGGCGGCGGCGGTGCCGGTTCGTAATCGTAATCGTACTCGTAATCGTAACCGTAGTCCAACCGCCGCAGGGCGTTCGACCGTGGGGTCGCGGCGGAAGGGCTGCGCGCGCGATAAAGCGATAGCACTTCCGGCGGTTCGTCGCGCAGATCAGTCACATCCGCCACCGCGTACATCCCTTCCTCCACCGGTGGCGATTGTTGCTTACCGCCGTACAACGGCGGTTCGTCGCAGCGTCCGGGCCGGGCGTATCGCGGCGTCTCGTAGATGTTCGTGTCCTGCGACTGTGGGCTTCGCTCGGACGCCGTCTTGCCGCGCGGCGTGTCGTACGAGATGTCCTCGTTGTTCCTGCCCAGCAGCCGGCGGCTGTACGACTCGGCGTTCTTATCGAGCCCGTTGTCGCCGCGACCGACGTAGACGAGGAACTCGGGACGATTCGGCGCGGCGTACGGAAGCGACTGTCTCTTCTTCTTCGCGCGGGTGAAATGCGCGAATAGGATGAGCACGATCACCGCCACCGCCAGGATGCTGATGGTGAACAACGCCAGGTGCAGCGGGCTCACGCGACACCGCAGCGAGCCCTCGGACAGCGTGATCAGCGCCTTGCCGGCAAACTCCTCGTCGCTGCAGATGATGTCGTGCGTGTCCAGCTCGAGGCGCGTCTCGTTTCGCCGCTCCTCCGCGCGGATCACGTTCCACAGCCAGTGCACCGAGCAGTTGCACACCAGAGGGTTGCCGCCGACTCGCAGGTAGGACAGCCCGTCGACGGGGAACTGCGTCGGCTGCAGAGTCGCTAGATTGCACCGACGCAGCGAGACCCACCTGAGGTACCGAGCACCGTAGAGAACCCGCGCCGGCAGCTCCCGCAATTCCCGATTGCCGTCCATCGAGATGCGCTCGAGGTTCACGTTGTCGGCGAACGCCCTCGCGTGGACGCTCGCGATCGTGCAGTCGTTCAGCTCCAAGTTCCTCAACTCGAAGAGATTGCGAAACGCCACGGCCTCCAGAGATCCGAGAGGATTCGTGCTTAGAATGAGACTCGTGAGAACGCTCAGCTTAGCCAGAGCGGCCGTAGGCACGGACGTCAGATTGTTCCCCGACAAATCCAGACGCAGGAGGTCCGGCAGGCGATCGAAGGCGACACCGGCGATACTCCTCACGACGTTGTTCGAGAGATTCAGGGAAATCAGCGACGGTAAGGATGGCAGGGAATCTCGAGCGAGCTCCAGCACCAGATTGTCCGACAAGTCGATGCGCTCCAGACTCGGCGCCAAAGCCAGATTGCTCGTCGGTATTTCCAGCAACGAGTTCTTGCTTAGGATCAGAGTCCGTATCTTGTGGAGGTTCCTCAGCAAACCGTCGGGCAGACTCGTGATCGAGTTGTCGCTCAGATTCAACACCTCCAATTCGCTGGTGTACTTGAACGCCTGCTCGTCCATCTGCGAGATGTTGTTGCCGGCCAGATTCAATTCCTTCAGGGACGTTAATCCGCGCAGCGCGTTCTTCGCCAGCGTGCGAATCGTGTTGTTGCTCACGTTCAGCGCGATCAGATTCTGTTGCAGACCGAAATTCTCGAGACCCAGCGTGTGGATGAGATTCGAGCTCAGATCGAGGCTCTCAAGATTCCCGTAGAAACTGAACGTGAGATGCACGCTGGCCACGCGATTGTTCGACAGATCCAAGTGGCGGATCTCCGGATTGAGTTGGATCGGCACGACATCGAGGCCGGCGTAGGCGCACGTGGCGCGTAGACTCTCGTCGTCGCATCGACATCGCGGCGGGCAAAGGCCACTAGCCACGACTGTCATCACGGCGGCCATCGCTATCGCGATCGGCAGCGTCGACGGCGACGGCCCACGTGATGCCATTCCATATGAACTCCTTCCGGACTGGAACTGCCCTTCAATAAAAGCAAATAGCAGAACGTTATCGTCGTATCGATCATCAAAGAAGGCAATCAATCGTGTGAAGGAAGTGCGAGGAAAATGTTCCGCTCGAATGACAACTGAAAGGCTTTAGGAGAGGAAGTGCGACTGGATGCGAGTGGAGACACGCAAATAAGTGCTGGAATTGAAATATCGTGAAAACCAAATAAAAATCTATTCCTGCAAACGTAAAATATTTTTCTGTTTAAACGTTTATATTATTTGTGCAAAAAATTTTTTAAATTGATGAAAAAAAACGCGCCTTGAATATTTCAAAAATTCTAAATATTTCAAAGATGTGTTGAATATAATTTATATAAATAAATCTTTCATTTATTTTTCAAACATAACACAGAACTTTAAAACTTCTCTAAATGTTTCACAGATGTTTGTAATTTTTGAATTATTAAGTAATATAAAAAATACCGGCTTACGATAACGTTTGTGATAAGTGAAAATTAATTTAATTAATTTAAAATTAGTCAATTTATGAGTCAAAAGAATATCATAACGAGATATTCGTTATATCGTACACTGCAACACAAATTTGTCGGAATATCGTGAACATTTACTATATATTTATAGAGTTACGTCTCTCTCTCAAAGCGCGACAGAAATTACTTCATCACACAGTTCCAATTATCTCTTTAATGACCGACAGTTTAATGATATTAACTGCATGTTAATTCTGCATTTCAAAATATGCTATCAGAATTCCTCTTCAACGGAGTGATGTAGCACTATCATTACAATTAATGAGGTCATGATAATGTGACATATTATTTGCACAAACTCTTCAAAGAAGGCAGATAAAAAAAAAGAGTACACTAAAGCGCACCACGATTTCAGTTATCTTCCGACAATTATTGATTACATTTATCCCATTGTGCTTCTTCATATGCGTAAACATTCTTTGCGCTTTATTCGACATACCGTGCACGATTATACGAACGATATCCCTGCGCCATGAAGCTCCGGTAAATGTTTCGAATAAAACCCGCCGTTAGCTGAAAGACCTTTGTGAGCCGGGTAACTCGCGAAAGCGTAACTACCTTTTACGTTCACCGGTTTGCTGCACAAGCTCGATGCAAGTTTATTTACGGACACCTGCACGCTCATTCGTGTTCAGATTTCGCGCTGCCTGCATCGCCGCTCCTCCCGGGATATGTCCGACATGGCGCAGTTTGTATGTCAACGTTTTTATGCCCACGAAGGGTAAATAACGTCACCCACTCGTGACAAAAAGGAACATGACAAACTGGCTTCGAAAGAGAAGTGGATATTAAATTTGCGTCTATGCCCGAATAAATTTACTGCGCGCGGTTAATTAAATTGCGACAAATTTCATCGTGCTCTCCGTTTCATCTGGCGATTTTGTGACATCTTTTTTTAGCATTTTCTGATGCGTGATATAATCGTTTGTCGCTAAAACAATTAGGTTGATTAGCACAGGTTGCGTGAAGCGTGCTCGCATATAAAATAAGAATTTTTTTTACACAAGTCTCTGATGATACTAATTAAAGAAAAACTGTCGCGCAGATTTAAGGTCAAGTGGGAACACATGATAACACATGGTGACATTCTTCATAACATTTTGCAATAATAAAATAGTAATTCATAAACAAATTATAAAATCGTTAAAATAATAATTACTTGCTTGATAAATACTGTGAGTTGTTTATAAAGTGATATCATAATATCATATCGTGATATCACGAGAAATTTTCACGATATCACATTTGCCTGAGTATTACATTATTTAAATTTATAAGCTTATATTTAAATTATATATTTCTTTTTCATACTTTTACTATCACCAACATTTCTTCTCATTACTTTACATCAACACGTATTTCTCTCATATTATCCTTAGGCGAAGAAATATAGCGAAACTACCTATAAAGCCTTCAAAGAAAGTTCGGGGTAACAAGAAAACGATACGTTTGCCAACGGCGCGTTTATTTCTTAGAGCACGGTGCATCCTTCCTTGTTAAATTTATCCGCAAAACAAGCAATTCGACAAGTTGCTGTTCGTATTTCACGTGAAAGCACCAGTGTACTCGGTCTATTGCGATAGAATTAAGACCTGAGAAATTTATTAGAGAAAGAGAGAGAAAGAGGAAGAGAGAGGGAGAGAGAGAGAGAAAGGCGACATGATAAACAATACTTGAGCCATTAATATTTCGTTCAAGCTGTAATAAAGATACTACGCTGTAAGAATTAGCGAATATTCACATTCTCTGCAACAATTTAGAAAATGTTACAATGAGAAATGGAGAAAATGCGGTAAATTCAGGAATAATACGTCTTTCATTTCGAAACATAACCGGTGAAAATTGAGCGAAATAATTTTTAAATAAATTCGCACGAAAATGAGCGCGCTTTCCATACAATACCTCTATACTTTATATCATCGCGATATTTCCCGAAAAATAGGGAATAAAGCGTGTTTGTAATCGACTTTGAAATTCCGATCTAATGCACGCATAACTCGGCCGTCGATTGAAAATCAATATTAGATTACCTCGTCAAATTAACCGCGAGTGCCTCATACAATGTATCAGCTCTGTAATCGGACACAAAAGCACCTTGTACGCGGAAAACACGGCTCATGGCGAGATACGTTGGAAACGTATTACACGATGCGAATGGACGAGCGAACAGTGCTGCAATCGTTACGTTAACCCGTGCCAGAACGCATAATCGAGAGACGCATGCACGGAGCACCGGGATATTACGCATTGCGCCAACGATAATTTCAATCCCGTGGCGAGATTTTTGCCAAGTTCTCTCCTCCGTGTCCAGAAATTCCCCAATATCCTCGTTTCAGTAAGTGCTTGCCGCGCCAGTAATTTTTCACGTCTCTTTTTCTGCACACTGCCGGGGAATAACAAATGGCGCTGATCTCACTGTCATGTATAATGCACAGATTTACAGCATCCCGCTATCTAACACAGCTATATGTCCAAAGCCCTGCCCTCCATCGCCAGAGCCGCGCCGTCGTGTTGGCAAAAAAATGCAACGGACGTTAACATCCGCGGCAAGTAATATCCCGTATGGCGGCGCGCGTCATTTTCTCCGGGAAATCGGGCGCCCGTTTTTTTTCCTCTTCTTCTCTCCCTCTCTCTCTCTCTCTCCT